TCATACATTACATACAAACTCATATATTTCAGATGTTTATTTTGTTTAATTTTGATGATTACAAATGACAACAAATGAAAATCTCAAATTCATCATATCAGAAAATTAGAATATTGTGAAAAGGTTCAAAATTGATGGCCCCTGGTGCCACACTCTAATCAGCTAATTAACTCAAACCACCTGCAAAAGCCTTTAAATGGTCTTTCAGTCTAGTTCTATAGGCTACACAATCATGGGGAAGACTGCTGACTTGACGGTTGTCCAAAAGACGACCATCGACACCTTGTACAAGGAGGGCAAGACACAAAAGGTCATCGCTAAAGAGGCTGGCTGTTCACAGAGCTCAGTGTCCAAGCACATTAATAGAGAGGCGAAGGGAAGGAAAAGATGTGGTCGAAAAAAGTGTACAAGCAAGAGAGATAACCGCACCCTGGAGAGGATTGTGAAACAAAACCCCTTCAAAAATGTGGGGGAGATTCACAAAGAGTGGACTGCAGCTGGAGTGAGTGCTTCAAGAACCACCACACACAGACGTATGAAAGACATGGGTTTCTGCTGTCGCATTCCTTGTGTCAAGCCACTCTTGAACCACAGACAGCGTCAGAAGCGTCTTGCCTGGGCTAAAGAGAAACAGGACTGGACTGCTGGTGAGTGGTCCAAAGTCATGTTCTCTGATGAAAGTAAATTTTGCATTTCCTTTGGAAATCAAGGTCCCAGAGTCTGGAGGAAAAGAAGAGAGGCACTTCATCCACGTTGCTTGAAGTCCAGTGTAAAGTTTCCACAGTCAGTGATGGTTTGGGGTGCCATGTCATCTGCTGGTGTTGGTCCATTGTGTTTTCTGAGGTCCAGGGTCAACGCAGCCACATACCAGGAAGTTTTAGAGCACTTCATGCTTCCTGCCGCTGACCAACTTTTTGGAGATGCAGATTTCATTTTCCAACAGGACTTGGCACCTGCACACAGTGCCAAAGCTACCAGTACCTGGTTGAAGGACCATGGTATCCCTGTTCTTAATTGGCCAGCAAACTCTCCTGACCTTAACCCCATAGAAAATCTTTGGGGTATTGTGAAGAAGAAGATGCAATACACCAGACCCAACAATTCAGAAGAGCTAAAAGCCACTATTAGAGCAACCTGGGCAATCATAACACCTGAGCAGTGCCACAGACTGATCGACTCCATGCCACGCCGCATTGCTGCAGTAATACAGGCCAAAGGAGGCCCAACTAAATACTGAGTGCTGTACATGCTCATACTTTTCATGTTCATACTTTTCAGTTGGCCAACATTTCTATAAATCCTTTGTTTTTATTGGTCTTCAGTAATATTCTAATTTTCTGATATGATGAATTTGAGATTTTCATTTGTTGTCATTTGTAATCATCAAAATTAAACAAAATAAACATCTGAAATATATGAGTTTGTATGTAATGTATGAATATAATATACAAGTTTCACTTTTTAAATGGAATTACTGAAATCAATCTACTTTTTCATGATATTCTAATTTTATGACCAGCACCTGTACTGAACTGTCCTCCACCAAACTTGCAGGTAGAGCTCTACATATCACCCCTACAGGGCCAAAGAATACCATCTCCTGTTACTTGGTTGGCTTGCGGCAATAAGAGCTAACAAAGGTTTGGGCTTCTTTAGCTCTTTATTTCAGCTTTGCTTGAGTTGCACAGTCTCTTCATTGGTTTGACTGCTTTAATTTGGCAAATGTGTGAATCTGGAACATTTGTTCTCTGTCTTGCCTGCTGCTAGCCTGTGCAAAATGAAAATTGGCCCCTCCTTCGATTTCCAACTTTTATTTCCGCTCCCTGGCTCTTAGGAGAAATCCACAGAAAAGCCACACCTTTGTATAAAGCAGTATGGTTCAAATTGTGGGGGAATAGTAGCGGCTTATACTCTGGAAAATACGGTATTCATAAAAGACGACTGAAGCTACAAATATGTCACTAGTGAATGATAGTTTTACCATTTGAATTGATTCATGGTGCAAAAATAATCAACACAGGAGTCAAAAGTCGCAAAAATTATCATTTTAGTTTAAACTGAGCCCTGAATAAAAGTAGCTTTTACATTGATGCTAATATTGAGCAGTAAGGAGGTACCATATAACACAAAGTGTGTCCGATTTCCTCTTCAAGCAAGCTGCAGCAGCGAGATCCATACAGTTATTGTTTCCTAAGAAACGTCAGCGTGGTCGGACATCCGGTCAGTCCAGGAGGCTTTAATAGTAGGCAATTACTAACATTCTGCAGAGGCGCCTCAAGAATGAGGAGCTCGGTGGAGCCGTCAAAATAAAAGGCTCTACATTACGATAGTTTTTGATTCATGAATAGCTTGCATGGGTACAGCAGATTCAACAATAGATGAAATGTTTTTTGATAGATGGATGAGTTATTCAAAATCTAAAGGGGATGAAAAACTTCCAGTGAAGAACTTTGCAGACAACCGAGAGGTTCTCTTTCTACAGAAATGATGGTCTTAGCACGGTGGAGAAGAAGCCTACTATTTAAAGCATGCACCCTAAAGATGACAAAGAGGAATCGCTGCTGGCTCTGCAAATCCCAATAGTCGTATTTTTAACGCCGTCCGTCCAACAGTCCACATGAGTCTTCTTTCTGTTTGCCGTTCCTCTGTTTTGCTTGGTTTCACACCCCAGTTTCAACTTCTCCTCTTCCTGACAATGACAAGAATCACTGTCATTATTACAATGGAATGGCCAGGAGTACGTTGTCGGCTCAGAGATCTGTGACGCGGTTTAACGAGGACCCACTACTCTATTCTCTGTTTCTGGTAAAGCAGCGTGTCATCTGATGACTCCATTTTTTAGCTGGAGCATTGAATCAAAATATAGTGAACCAGTCCTAATTTTAAACTAGATTGGGAGAGATGTTTGTATTTTCTGCTAAAATGCACAGTGAAAATGGGAAAGCATACAGTTGTGACCAAAGGTTTTAGGACTGACTGCAACTTGACTGCTTCAGTGTTCTGGCAATTGCTTTGAGTCTAGAATGTTATAAAATTTAAAATGGAGATAACAAAGATAATAAATGTTGATTAAATTGAGTGAAATCTCAAAAACCTAATTGACAATGTTTAGGATCCCTGTAGCATTTGTAATGATGTCCTTTTTGTTTGCTGGGAGACAAATGTTATTCAAGACATAATTTTGAGTTTTTGATTTAATTATAGAAGCAAAACCTTTGCTTAAAAAAAGTTATTGATACTTTAACTTGTTAATCTGTAAGCAAATGTTGTCACTGCTTTGCATCAAAAGGGGTTAATGAGCCCAATCAAGAGCCAGGACCATTCTTTAAAGAACTTAAAAAAAAACGCTGAGCCATTCTGTCAATTACCAATGTTTCAAGGCACGGTGCTGAACCATCCTAAAACAAACCAGTCCTGTCAAGAAGCCTTGGACCCTCATTTACTGTTCTTAGCGACTGAAGTCCAGTAATCATTTCTGTCTTGTTGCATCACTGCATTTATGAACATCAACTGTACAATTGGACAACCACTCCCAGGTTGCATTGATTTTCAGTTTAACTGGCTTTAATCATGTCCAGTTTATTTAAAAAGCACCAATCCACAACAAATTTCGTACCAAGGCACTTTAAAAATAGAAACAGTGACTTTCAGTGCAGAGCTTGTTTACGGGTGGCAGCAACAAGGTTTGAGTTTTTCATCAAGCACAGTGAGCTTTGAGCATCAAGAAAGATACTTGATTACCACCAGGACAGAGCTTGATTAGGAATGGCAATGAATAGTTTTTAGGGTTTCTGCACAAGCAGTTAGTTTTGAACTATTGAATGAAGGGGGCAAAGAGGTTATCAATTTCATAGAGATACAACAAGGGCTGGCTGGCTTGCTATACAAAAACAAACTAGAGTTTATTTAAGGGTACACTGTCTGAAAAAGACATATTCAGGACTTAAAAAAAAACATCTCTTCTCTAGTGTTGCACCAATACCGATACCAGTATTGGTCAGGGCCCCGATCCAGCACTAAAATGGTGGCATAGGTATCTGCCAGTATCAACAAATAGAGCCCCAATGCCATTTTGAGAGTTTATTCAACTAATGTCACCCATTCCAGGTAGGCAATAAAAAGTTCTGCTGGATTCACTTTGTATTAGTCTTTTTCCGGCTTCACAAAGGTAAGAAGCAGCTTGACAAAGCCAATTATTTTACATCCAAGTAGTATGCAGTTTTTCATATATACACACAAACATTGATTTCAAATAGATGGTATCGGTATGGTATCATTATCGAACAATACTGCACAGCCAGGTATTGGGTATTGGTATCGGGGCCAAAAAAAGGCATCAGCTCAACACTACTTTTCACACAGGGAAAGAGTGAATGTTGCACACATTTTGCCCTAAAAACTAAGCCATTAATGTAGTTTAACAGAAAACTGTTTCACAAGGCAAATTTTCCATCTCTCCAGGACCTGTACGCCTCCAGAACTCTGAGGTGTGTAGGGCTGATCCCTCACACCCCAGCCACAAACAATTTCAAACATTTGCCTCTGGCAGGAGGATGCGGTCCATCAGGACCAAAACCTCACGCCACAAGAACAGTTTCTTCCCATCCGCTACCAGCCTTACTAACAAGGCCCAGAGATCCCCGTGACACTGACACTGCCTCTCTTCTTCCCCTGTTCAGGACCTAGAAGCTACACTAACGTAGCATCTTCAGACCTCCTGCGTTAGATAAAACAAAGTCTACTGTGTATATAGTATATAGCTACATATTGTATATAGTATATTGTATGTTTTATATTGCATATAGCTTTAGATTCTCTATTCTGTATGTTTATCTTATTTGTCAGCACCGTCAACATCAAGTTAAACACTAAAATGTTGACACTCATCAAACAACAGAAGAATTGGACTGAAGGATCAACCTACACTGAAGCAGTGAGGTTTGTCAGTCACAAAACCTTCGGTCACTACTGTACTCCATATTCCAGTGAATGTTATATAAATTTTAGCAGTTTGAACAGCCACTGGTTCCACTTTTTGGGGAAGAAATTCTGCTAAGGTGTGGTACAAGTACTGTAACTCAGAGAAACAGGCAGGTAGACATTCCTTTGGCCTTGTTAGCAAAAACAAACTGAACAAAAAGCTTTGAAGAACCACCCTGCACAGCTCATGCAGATGTTAGGCAACTGATCAAAGGAAGGAAAAAAGGGGGGAAAACTGTGGTTAGCTTACACAAAGTGATTCACACTGCTATCCTAAAGACAAACATACAAACTAGCAGGGAAAAAATGATGCAGCGAACAATCAGACGGAGTTCAGCTCAGTCACACATACACACATTCAAAGAGAAGTCACATTCTTCTGCAGAAAGGTGAGAAAAAAGCATGGGCACACACACTGTATGAACACACTGGTCATGTGTAAGCTTGTTAGAGTTGTGGCCAATGTCTGTCTGTCTGGCTCTGAGAGAGCATTGCTGATTAGTGGCAAATCTATGGAGCTGTGCTGAAACAGTGTGTGGCACGATGTGCAGTGTGTCGGTCACTATCATGGCTATAAGGTTAGACGCACTTGCACACCGCCGTTGTGTGTTTTTGTTTTTGCAAAGGTAAAGTGAATGAAGAGGCGTCGTTAAATGTGCGCCAATAACGGCTGGGTCTCGCTTTCGGGGGGCTCACCCTCAGGGGGGGGCAGCTGGTACACCACGCAGAGGGAGGAGTACAGGCAACCCACGAATGACATCAGGCTTGAAAAGTACATCACCCCCTGAGCCCCGCCCACCAGTGAGGTCAGAGGTCCCATCGCCACAGAGACCAGGATCTGAGCCAGGAAATACTGACAGCTGAGGAGAGAGATGTCTACCCCCATACCGCGTCTGGTCCCCTCCTCGGACGAGCCGCAGAACTGCAAGACAGAAACAAACACTACAGCTCAAGACCCTTGGTATTGGGTGAAGTTAAACAAGCATTTCTTTTTCCTCTTCATTATAGATTTTACTTGGCTTTCAGTCAGCCAGAAGCCCTCTATTATAAGACATGTATCCATTTTCACCACTCAGCTTCATTTATGAATTAGCATAATGTTTCTAATTAGAAGAACTCATATCAGCTGCTGTAATCCACACCAGATTCTGCCTTCTGCAATCTAATATTTTTTCAGTTTCAAACAAACGCTTGTTTTGAGAACCTTAAGATATTTAAGTGTAATTTTGCTCCTATCTAACCACTCTTCTTCTTCCACATGCAACTGCAAACACAATTATTTTATGGGGGTAGATCAACATTAGTTTTCTTAAACTTTCCTTTTCTCCATAAAGGCCAGAGTTGTGCAGAACACTGCTAATAGTCACTCTGACCACAGATTCTAACACCTGAGCTTCTTCTCTGACTAATCGTCTCCCTGCAAAGCTAGCCCTTAAGGTGAAAGGACCTTTGCTAAGGAAGTTTGTAATAGCCCCATATTCTTCCAATCAGTTTAAATACTGTTGGGATACAAATTTTAACCTAACTCTTCTTTATACTCGCCTTTCTTTTGTCTTCTCTTGTCTTCATGATGTTTGTTTGCTCTTTAATGTGCTCTAGCAAACCTTTTAGTCATTCACAGAACAGCTTTGTTTCTACTGAGATCAAATTGCCACAGCTTTTATGTGCCCGTTGGTTTGTTTATGTGGGAGTTTGCACTGGCTTTTTTGGGGGGTTTAGGGACTTTAGGGCAATCATGGAAAATTCTATGTTTTGTATCACAAGAAATCCCTATGAAATTAACAAAGGTTTTTGGATGAAAAAAAATTGTTAACTGGCTAAGCTCTGTATCACATAGATACCTGGTTCTCTGTGATGTCTAAATAAAGGTCTTATAATAGTAACCTGATTGTGTTGTGTGGAAACATCCCTGATAGCATTTACTTTCAGTTTCAGCTCTCCAAATTTATAATTTTAAACTTTAGGCTTTAATAGAGAAAATGAAAGGGTGACACTAATTATGCTTTCCTACAGAGCATTCTCTTACTGTGCTTAGTAGATTATCAAGGCTCTCAGTAACAAAAAAAGTTTATTATTGTCCCATGGGGTTCAAATGTACAGATGCTGCCTCTCCACTTTGTTTGACATCAGTCATGGGCGCCTGCACACAACAGCCAGTAACAACAGGGTTAGAGAGGCAGCAAATCCAGGTGAAATTTAAGAGAATGGTTTTCATCAAAAGGCAGTTACATTTATTGCTGCCGGTGCAAGATATGTCTGGGAGAAGAGGAACATTTAAAGTACTTATGTGAAACCATGGATACAAGTTATAATCCCAGCTTATTGGATGTAAATGAAGTTGTTGGAGCATAACGTGTTACTGCAGAAAAAACAGACTCCTTACTGATAGTCTGATAGTCTGACATGTTATTATTAAATATGATGAAAAAGCTTTCTAGACAAGTTATAATCCTCTAAATATTCTAGACTAAAAGTATTGTAGATCTATGTTGGGCATTTCTTTACTGACACACAACTTCTACTTGTAGTAAAGGAAGCTTTATGAGAACGTTATGGGACTCAAAGACAAGGTATTATGGTAAGAGCATCTACAGCCTTTACAATTTAACGTACTTTGTGGAATTGACCACTATGTCTCTTTGCAAAACAGCACATTAGCATAGTGCTGCCACCACCATGCCTGACAGTGGATTAAACATCCAACAGCAATTTAATTTAGGAGGGACAATTTAAAAAACAGAGTTTTAGTCTGTGGTTGGCCTCATAATACTGCCATGATTTCAGTTAACTGCAACAGGCCCAACACAAGCTACAATTGCCTAAATCTGTCATGAACTAGAAGAAGTAAAGAAACCAGTGTTACTGCCCACTGTGAAAGTAGGCATCACCATCCACCATTAGTGTACTTACTAAATAGGAATACCTGCTCCAATGTAGTCTAAAGAAATAAATAAAACAATTATTTGTTGTTATGGGAAAAAAAAAACAAAGTGATAGAAAGATTAAGCAGATTGATCACAATGATGTGAAGTAGATTTGGAGCAGTTGAGGTAAGGGTATCAAACCAAAAATGACTCAAGCACGGTGGTGGCTTCATTAGGGCTGGGCGATATAGAAAAAAAGCTTATCGATAAAAAAAAAATGCATATTGATCGATATCGATAATTATTGAAAAGATTTGAAACCATATTTTATGTGCAGCTCTGCCTGGACTTTTTATGATATTGCTAAATGATTTCATTTTAATAAAGAACACAAACACAGACTTCCAATTAAATCTTTATTTAACCAACTTTTTTAACCATAACGGAATTGTTTTAAAGAAAAATAACTTAAAAGACCTGAGTTATGTTATTAAATACTGACAAAGAATAAACTAAAGTGATCAGAAAAGTGACCAAAATATATATAACAAATAAATAAATGGACGCCCCCCCTCCCCCCGCCCGCATTCTTCTAAGCTGAACCTGCTTTAACCTGAGTTATTACTTTGAAGTTTCTGGCCCCTCAGCATTTTTCTCTCAATCGTTAGAAGTACGTGGGAAACTGCCCAGAACTGAAAATATATATATATTTTCCCGAAATTCCCGAAGATTCCTCGGAGGACGACGCAGATGCACGCCGGGGCCTACACAGCTCGTACTCCTGCGGGTGTGAGCGGCTGAGATGATAAAAAAAAAGTTGGTTGTGTTACCAGACTTCGTTTTCACTGGTTCCCGACACATTTTCCAGGTGACTGTGGTTTGTTTTTTGTCTGACTTGCCATGACCGAAATACTGCCAAACTGGCGAACTACAAAAACCCTTCTTTGGAACAATTTCCTCTGCCTCTCCTTGCTGCGACATCTTCATGTGCTCTGTGTTGTGGTTTGAGAGGGCGGCGCTTTGTGACGGCGTGCCTGGGTCCGCGATTGTGATTGGTTGGGAGGAAGTAGTGACTAGCATAAACCTACATGCTAGGCTACAATGAGAAGGAAGGAAAACTGCGTTTTTTTTACGGAACTTTTATCGACCCGCTTTTTTTCTATTGCGCCACACGTCTATTGATCGATATATATTGTTATTAAATTATCGCCCAGCCCTAGGCTTCATTATGCAAAGGTGCTGCTTTTCAGTCATATTTAATGTCACATGGTTCAGGTGGATAGAATGATTAATGTCTTGTAAAGTCTTAACCAAAGTCTTGGACATTAACTCTACCAAAGATCTCTGGACGACGTTTGAAAGCTGAAGAACAAATAAATCACAAAAAAGAAATGCCATTGACAGGTGCTAATCTATCACTAGAACGATATACTTAGAACAACTGGGTTTCGAGACAATGCTGTTACTCCATCAACAGATTTGAATGCATGTAGAAAAATGAAAACTGAATTGATATTTACCTGAGGGCTCTGGTAGTATTCACACAGTAGGGAGTAAGGCAGCGTACATAAAGAGGAGAAGAGCACGCCGTAGGTAACGCAGAGCGAAAGCACCACGTACAGGTTGGTGGAGAGTGTTGCAAGGCCTGTGCCCAAACCAAATGCCAAGTAGGCAAAAAAGTAAAGAGTGCGTAGCGAGAAACGTTCCTCTAGTTTCTCTAATATGGCTGGAAATTGTAAAACAGACAAGAGTCAATCACTGTTTTTCTTGCATAGAAATCTCAAATTATCTGACTGTTTACCTGAGTAGAAAGCAGCACTGAATGCATAGATGCACATGCCCCAGCAGCCCATGTTGACGCCAGCATTGTAGCGCTGGTAAGCATCGGAGTCATGAGGCGCTTTGGGGTCTCCTTCGAACACAACTTCGCCCATAAAGTCGGTGTAGAAGAGCAGCATGCCTTCAAATGACAACCAACCTACGCATAAAACAGACAGAAAAAAAGTAACTCAATATAAAAATTCATTACAAAGATGCTTTTTTTGTAGATCAATAAGTCTCACCTAAAAAATGATTAGTGCATAAACTCCTCAGAGAAGGAGGCATTCTGTAGATGGCTATACACAGCAGCTTCATGGACAACTGGGATTCTCCTGTCTCCATATTTTCACTAAGATCGCTCTCATATCGCACTCCGTTTAGCAAAATATTTGCAACCTGATGGAGAGGAAAAATAACAGGTGTTATGTTAAATAAAAAATACATTGGTACCTGTCAGACTGATTACAGTTGTCTGAATGTGATGCCAACCTGTTGGCTGAAGGTAACTGTTCTTCTCCGTCCGTTTTCCAGTGCTACAATCTGCGTTGCCGTCGGCTCCTCGATCAGTGCCAGGCTTTGAGGTCGCTTCAGGATCCCAGCAGAGGATCCCCGGTGGGGCCCGACCCCTGGGTGAGACACAGCTGTGCCTGGAGGTGCAGCTTGGGTTTGGGCATCTCCCTCAGTCTGATGCCCCTCTGCCTCCTGAGACTCTGAAGTCAGATTAGACGTCCCATTAGCCTGAGATTGCCCTTCAGGAGGGTTACCTGCTTTCTGTTGGGACTCCTCAGAAGGAGGGGAGTCGCCTGTAGGCAGGGGTATCGTGGTTGAGTCCGAAGCCAGTGCTGGTGGAGTCTGTTGACCTGTGTAGCAGTCTATAAGCACACTGTCGATGTAGGAGGTTCCTAATGATGAGGCAAACTCATTGATGCCAGTGAGTGAGCCATCTCTGCTTAGAAAGCTGCCATATTTTGGAGTGAGGGGACTCAACGGTGATATGGGGCTGGTGAGGCCAGCGCAGAGACGTGCATTGGCGCTGCAAGAATGAGCCAACGGGTCAGAATTACCCGGATGAGACTTGGAAAAGCTGAAGTTGTAAAGTCCGTCCTCATCTTCCTCATCCAGCCCCAGCATGGCTCCGGGGGGAACAGGAGGAGAAGGAGGAAGAGGGAGGCTTGGGCTTTTCAGATGGTTCTTACTGGAGTTTCTGTTTGGTTGGCTCTTTGGTAACGGCCTCTCAGGGATGCTCATCAGAGTCATGGTGGTGGAAAACACCAAAGTGATGCTGGTGAACAGATATATGACTCGCAGCTGCCCTCCCATGGACTTTCCAAACTGTGTCTGGTCCCAGGTAATGCCACCAACAATGTAGCCAAATCCTCCTCCCAGCCCTGAAATCAGAAATGATGAGAGAAATGTGCAACACTGAGAAACAGCAGTTATGAGAATAGTTCCTTTTTTGTGTCTCACCTGCCATCAACACATTCAGCCCAATAGAGGCCAAGCTGTTTAGTCCTATCGACTTTCATTTAACTTTGTGTATTTTTATCTACATTTAGAACCCGAAACATAAGATAAAATTGCCACTATAGAAATTACACTGTACATAAGTAGTTTCTTTAAAACTATTTAAAGTCTGAATGAACTTTTGTCTGATTCATTCTGTTGAAATTGTGTAATAAGAAAGAAAAGTCAATACTGTGTTAAATATTGAACATATTAAAGCTTAGCCAAGCTTCTGGTAGCTTCACTACAGACAGATCTTATGAGGTTGAGGATTTTTTTTTTATCTCCCTTGACACCAGAGGTTGAGGGAGACGTTGTGGAGCCCAGTTTGCCAGAGCATAATCAGTTTAAGCAACCCCCTTCAAAGTACGGACCCAGCAATGCCAAAATATGGTGCTATGGAAGTGGCAGAGGACCTGCTACCAAGGAGTATTATTGAGTGAGTTGATTCATCCAAAAATAGGCGATGGTGACTGATGCCTGTAACTATTAAGTAGGAGTGTACAAATTAAAATGCAATAGCCACCGTTAAACCTCTTTGGTTTAGAACTAGACATACAGTGACATTTAAGTAGCAAAGTTTGCATTTTTTAAATGCAAAAAAGTGGTATTTGGAATGAGTTACACTGTGGGATTTTATTTTCTAAAGAAAAAAGCTCTCAAATTATTAGCCTCCACTGTACCTGCAGTTTGAATGATACCAGATGATACCAGACAAAGGACAAACAGAAAGAGCGGACTTAAATAACTGAGGGAAAAACTGAAAACATCTGTGTACAATCAACTGAAATCACAAACAGGTGTAGATTGTGCCATTGAGTTGCCCATTTGAGGCCCCACTCTGTCAGTCTCCGTCACTGTGTCCTTGGGCAAGTCACCTCACCCACGTTGCCTGTTGGTGGTCTGAGGGCTGATTGTATGGCAGCCCTACTTCTGTCAGTTAATATATCCTAAATAGAGATTTATAAAATAACTAGGTGTGAGTAAAAAAGTATATTTTGACACAAGAATCGACACATTCAAGGTGTTTGTTGTCTTTTTATCACTACTCTGCAAGAGAGTCTCTACTCCTAGCCTGAGGGATTACACAAGCTTAGCTTTCTCAATTTGCTTTTTAATGAAGAAAGTTAACAGTGAAATATCAAGTTATTGTATTAATGTTCACAAACAGTAAATCAATACCTAGCCTAAACTCTTCATATCCTGGGTTACAGATATTTTTTCACTTAAACTTATTTTGTTGTTCAATTAAATTCTGCTTATTATATATTACTCCTACACAATTATTCAAAACACAGTGACCCAGTCAGAGTCTTAAATTTATTCTGACAAATAATCTGTAAAGAAAGTTAAAGATTCTTTGTCAGATTCTTTGTCAGAATAAATATAAGAATCTGTAAAGAAAGTTAAAGATTAGGGTGATACCAAGGGGAGCTTTCACTAAGAAATACATGGAGCTCATTGTCAAAGACAAATCCTCAATAAAATATTTTAAGACTTGCAAATATCTGACTATTAATTAAAAGGAATGTTTGATTGATTCCGTCCCAATAAAAGCTTTTCCACTGAACAAAGAAAAGGGTAGAGCTATTGCACCTGTGTATCGTTTTCATTTAACATTATATAAAACCAGAAAAGTGTTTTACAGGGTTCCTGTCCTGTACAAACTTATTGGATAAATAAAGTTAGATTTATATCTAAATCTGCCAGGGGACATGACTTGTATTACAATCGATGAGGAAGAAAGGTCATTATGGTTCTGACTAAGTCCACACAACTCAACAGAAACCATAAAAACAAAAACCTTACCTGCTAGTAATGCATGAATGTTGAGCCCTCTATCCTGATCCTCAGGGCTGCACACATCCATCATGTAGGCGTGGCTTGGGTTGTCAGCCGAATCGGCGCTGAAATCCATCAAAACTACCCCACAAACTGTCAGGATGATGCCCCACTTGTGATTGGATGCCGTGTCAGCCAGGGCGCCCCCAATGTCTCGACCGTTCAGAACTAAGGATAGACCAACTAAAGCCCCTATATTGAACAGAAAAGAGCAAAAATGTTACAGTCCACATTTAACTCCCCTTTGGGATAAATAAAGTATTCTTAAATCGCAAATGTGTGGCTGATACCATTAAAAAAGCCAAATAGGGGTAACACTGACAGGAAAGGCATGATTTCTATCCCATTTTTTCATATTGAGATTACTTTCTCCAACAATTAAGAATGATATGTCATTCAGGCTTATGGCTGGTATGAGGGTATGAATTGTTTAAACAGAAAATTTACCATGTTTTGCCAAAATTATTAGACATAATAATTTTTACAGCTAGATTAATGTTTTTTATTATATTAATGTATTGTTATCTTGGTTAAAAGGCTATTTAGAGTTTCATGGAACTAGTAGCTACAAGAAAACATGTAGAGCCTTACACTTTTTAAACTAATCTATTTTCTCTGGCTCTTTGCTAGTCTACAACTGCTTCCCAGGAATCTGACTTGTAGCTGACAGGGGTCTCCTTACAAACCAAAAAATTTAGACTAAACCCTAAACTCTGGTATAGGTCATGCTTTCTATAACCTTTCAAATGTTATCCTTTGTCTCATAAGCTCTGTGACTTTATACAGTGTAATGCAGGACCTCTGTGTTATTATCTGAGCATCCCTGACCTACAGCCAGAGCAAAAATGAAGGGTCTTCTCCTCCCAAATCGGGATGTGCAACGATCACTCCATGCTCCTATTAGAGGCTGAACAAGGAATCCTTCAAGACAAACACAGAAGAAAAGAATTTCAGTCTGGTTTGAAATAGAAAAAACATTAATCCACTGATTGACTTACCAAGAATGGGACTAACTAACCACACCAGGCTGTAGAACTGATCCGGCAGGCCCATTTGTAAAAGCACAGGTGTCACATAGGCCGTTTCCATGGCGTAGCTGAACTCAATCCCAAACAGGATGCAGCCATTAAAGAGTAGCTCACGGAAGGTCCGTCTAGGAGGAAGCTCGCTGAGGTCCAGCTGGTCCAGGGGACAAGGCGTGTTAGGTGGGGGAGGCGGTGAGGGTCTTATCAGTTTCCTACGCTTCGGCTGTCTTTGGAAGTTGTTGGCTCTGTGACTGAGGTGCCTTGTGGTGGATGTTGGAAAGCTGGCCGTCTTGGGTAATGAGGTCCTCCAGAGGCCTTCCTGAGCTGAGGATAACCTCCCTCCTGGACTGACCAGGAGGGGGTCAGTGGGGGTGCCCATGCCTGGAGATGACATCTCTCTCAAGCTGGAGTACACTGTGGCATGAAAGAAGTCTTATGCAGCACCAATATAAAACTGAGGCGTGACAAAACTGTTTTTTTTTTTATAGTTCAGAAGAAAAAAATGATATAGTTGTGTTTTGCAGAGCTGATGATTCCAGACACAGCGCTGCTAAGAGGACACTGCAGAGATGAGCGGACGCACTGCGCCCACTGCCCATGTGCTCTCCGGCTGATACAGCAGTGTTCTCTGCGGCAGTGCTCTCATCACGCCTGTTTCCATTTTAATTTTTCATGCAGGAAGACAAGGTCGGACACAATGGACCCTTAGCAGAGACTGGTACAGGGATAATTCATCACAATCGGTCGCACTTCAACAAAAATCTGAGGAAAATGCTGATTGCTGCTGTTATACTTGCAGCCTTAGGTCGGTTGACTCATCCCAAATTATTCGTAAATGATGCTCTGAATTTTCTGGCATGGACATTTAAAGGTCTTAAAGGTGAATAGGCCTACCACCAAACAGCCACGCGTGATAAGAGAAAAAAAGGCGTGCAGAGTGGAAAGATGATAATTACCTTCGTGGGGCGACTCGTCATTTATTGCACACTGTGTAGGTAAACAGTGGAGCCATTATGGTGTGCAGAGAGGCGTAGTGTTGATTATAGGAGTCATTATTATTATGATTTTATATATATATGTATATATATTTTTTTGCTTTGTTTTCCTTTGATGCGTCTTCCCCCCGCTCTGCCGCGTCCCTTCTCCTCCTTCCCCCTCCTCTTTTCTCCCCATTCGCCTCTTTTCCCGGTCTGTCCTGTGACGTCATGCCCCTCCCTGCAGCATCAGCAGCACCAACACATCTGCCCCCTCCACGCAGCGCGCGTCCTCCAGCGTGTTTAGGCGACTACACTTCGAGAAACGTTTATGACACCTGAAAATAATGAGATATACAACTTACCTGTCTGATAATAATCAGTCTGCACTATCTATCTATCTATCTATCTATCTATCTATCTATCTATCTATCTATCTATCTATCTATCTATCTATCTATCTATCTATCTATCTATCTATCTATCTATCTATCTATCTATCTATCTATCTATCTATCTATCTATCTATCTATCTATCTATCAACTGGATGTTTTGTATCTTTGTCTACCTATAGTCCCTTTTCACCAAGACTAATTATAACAGGCTCTCATTATTCTAGAACAAATTTTGTTTCATACTTGCTGAGATACAATTTCAAGCAACAACAGTGACACATTGTACTTTATTACAACTAGCAGCCTTATAGTCTCAGTAGGAACACTGATGTATCTTTAGGACAACCTTCTAACTCATATGTCGAAATGTGTTTTAGCATGATTCCAAGCAGATGGTTTTATCCACTCATGTGCAAAAAAACACTATGACAGCGTATTTAAATCACCCATTAAATATTTGAACCAGATCTTAAAATGTACTTAATATAATTAAGTTTTTTTGTAACATTAAACATTCAATTTAGAGATAAAAAAAGCCACCATGTATGAGTGTATTAGTGTTATGAACTAATATAGCGACATCTGAATCTGAAATGATACAGATTTTGTATTCTTTTTTTTAAATCAGCATTATAAGTAATGCATCAAGTCTGTTCACATTTATTTTTGGTCTTAGTGTTTTGGTATAATTATTTATCAATAGCATTTGTTGGTGTGTATTTCTTTTCGACTCGTGATAATGGACGTTTGAATATGAATCAATCATTTTTATTGTTGTGTTGTAATGAGATTTGGAGACTACATCCTCCTATGTCTGAACAATAAAAGACTTAAATGTTGCATGAAGGTTCTTGGCCGTTATACTTTCATCTGTAAATATTCTACTCCTCCCCAATTTCTGTTGTTATTATTATCAATATTAATAATAACAATTTTAAAATTATTTAGAATTATTTGCATCTCTTTATTTTGTGTTTTTTATTTATTAATTTAAGTTTGAAATAAAGTTTGTACTCTGAACTTGTAAATTATTGTGAATGCTAAATCATCTTAGACTATTATTATAATAGGTTGTTGTTGTGATTTATTTTTTTAAATATAATTTATTCTCATTGTTGTTTCAGTTTCTGTTGTTCTGGTAAAGCGTATTCGTCTTTATGCCATAATTTCAGTAATATAGCAGAGGAAATCAAAGCAAAGCAAATATAGCTTGGAAATATAGCAATAATATTTTCTGTTGAAGGAATTTGGAATTGTGTTCAACATTTCTGCTCACCAAATAGCTACATAGTTAGCAAAGGATCTAAAAGAAAAAGGATCCATGTATTGGACATTAAGACAGCTATAAAATGTACATGTTGTTTAACTAGAACAGGTAACAAAGGTCAGGCAATAAAAATCCATCACCTTTGAGTTCCCTTGTAGTAAACCTTATGCAATGTGCGTTATACAAATGTCATATTTTAAACTATTTACGCAACAGTTAAAGTTTAAGCGATGAGTTAAAGGAAAAAAACACAGCGTTAAGACTGTTCAGGAGGAGATCAGTAAGCCCTTTCTCATAATATTTGATCGCGCGTTTTGATTCGTCAATCGTTCAGCAGTACTAGTATTTGATTGGATGCTACCACACAGTGGGCGTTACCGGAAAAGAGTGTTTTGCAACTGTTGTGCAAGTGAATTGGGCGTTTTAGGAGAATTTCAGGAGTCCCGCTAGTCTGTTTCTGAAGCCGGCTTTATTTTAAAGTCTGTATACTGTAGAAAAAATGGCTAAAGTCAATCTGGATAAAGTTGGACAAAATCTTATCAAGGATCCGGAGACCAACTCTGTAAGCTGACTAAGGAGGCTCCGTTTGAGACGGACGTTTTTGCTTATTAGTTCTGTTAATCCGGGGCTGCTTTTGGTCTCAATATTGTGTTTATGTTGTATGTTTAATTTAATATTTTTATTAATTCAAAGAAAATTTTTTTTGGCTCGTTATCGCTGTTCATAATGGTAGTTTGTTGTGACATAACATTGATCTTATGGGAGTAAAGGCGTGACAGTAAATCATGGTGTCATCATTGACAAGTTAAGCATATTTTTTCTGTCATGAGTCACAATTTCCTCAGTTTCATTATCCTGACTGTTTCAGAAAATCGAGTTTCGGACTCTTTGGCAAGATCAGGCTGTGGTGGTCTTCTTCCTGCGGAGGTTTGGGTGCCAGGTGTGCCGATGGATGGCGTCAGAGATCAGCAAGCTGGAGGCTGACCTCAGGGCCAACGGGGTGTCCTTGGTGGGAATCGGACCAGAGATGTTCGGCCTCAAAGAGTTTAAGGAAGGAGGCTTTTTTAAAGGCTGTAAGCATCTCTTATCTCATGACACTTAAAAATGAGTTACTGATAAAAATGCATGGTGGATGTTGAATCAGGGATGACATTCCAATGAGGTTAGAGCTCATTCACATAAAGCCATCACTGTCCTAGTGTACATTGAGTGGGTGTGTTCTGGGAAAACAAGTCTGTTCACTATGCTGGTGGAGGTTCTCAGTCATCCAGGTCATAGTCATTCCAAAAAAAGTAAAAAAAAACAACAACAAACCACTGGACTTCGTTTTTCAAGTTTGAAGACATTTCGATTCCCATCCAGAAACCTCTACCAATTAAAAATGTCTGAATTAGCTTTGAGTTCCAGGCTTTATAGAGCATGCTTAGAAAACATGCAATTTGAATCAAAAACAGGTCCACCCTTTAGTAATCGACATAGTGATGGGGTTGAGATGATCTATCATCTCGACCCCATCGCTATGCAGGGGAGCAAAACATCACGCCTGATCAGCCAGACCAACAATGACTCTAACAACTCCCTTTTCAGAGGCATGGGCCAGTATCGGGTATTGTAGGCCAACAAAGACCTCAATGATGCCCCATTACTAAGGGCTGGACCTGTTTTTTTGGATTCAATCCAACAAAGCCATAACAAGGCTTTGTTGGGCTACTCTATAAAGCCTGGAACTCAAGGCTAATCCAGACATTTTAAATGAAAAAAGCTTCCCGGATGGGAAGTGAAACGTATTCAAACATGGAAAACAAAGTCCAGTGGTTTTTTTTTTTTTTTTTTTTTTACTTTTTTTGTAATGACTATGACCTTGATGACTGAGAATCTCCATCAGCATGATGATCATTTTTTTCCCCCCATAGCACACCCACTCAGTGTCTAGTGTGACAGTGATGGCTTTTTTTTGGAAAGTTTGTTCCCTGACTACAGCTCTACTGCCACTCTTTTTCCACAAGGTGTGTAAAAATTCATCTGTCACTGTTTTTTCAGCCATTTATGTGGATGAAGATAAGTCGTGTTACAAGGATTTGGGATTTAAAAGGTGAGTTTATGTTACTGTAAATATAAATACAGTTTGATTTTTTTGTTTGTTTGTTTTTTGTTTTTATGAACTTACCATGTCTTAGACTCCCCTTTAATTTGGCTCTGAACACCCTTGAACCTTATCACAAACAACCATAAACTTCTATTTTGATTTCATGTCAACATTTTTGAATTAATATAAAGAGTAAAAGGAAGAAAATCACAGCTTTCTGTTCATTATTATTATTATTATTTTTTTTTTTTTAAACTAAAGCACCTGAAATGTGTCATTTGTATTTATGAAGTTAACACTTTGTTAAACCACATTTAGGTGCAAATATAGGCAAACATTATTTAGAATGTTTGGCCTCCACTGCTTTGGAGCATTTGCTGACCACAACACAGGTCATGTCAAGGAACTTTACAGAGAGAATTCAACCAGATCATACAGTCAAATTGTTTCAAAGTTTTCTAAGGAAAACCAGTTGATTGCATTTACTCATCGACTCAAAGGAAAACCCTTGCACCAAGCATGCTTGTAGCAACAGTGGAGAGGAAAACTCTTTTATCAGGAAGAAACCTCCAGCAGAACCAGGCTCAGTGTGAGCGGCCATCTGCAGAGGCCGACTGGGGTTCAAGGAGACAGAAGCAGAGATACAGAAAGAAGCATAGAAACAAAAGACAACTGTCAACCAGCTTCACAGGAAACGCCCAGCCAGGCAGACAAGCTCAGAGGTAGCTCACATGTCAGATGATAAAAAAGAGAGCACATATAATTAGTCACAATCAGAGAAACAGCAGTACTCTGGAAAAACAGGCCAAGCTCCAACATCTGTTAACAAAGATTTTTGATAGCAGAAGCACAGCTTATCTTTCTCTCCAGGATGGTGTCTCATCCAAACAGGAAAAGACCAGATGAAGCTACTATGATGAGAAAAAGCAGAGGGAGCAGAACAATCGAGATTAAAATAACACATTCTGGAGAATAGAGATAGAATAAAGGAGATTGATGAAAAGGGGTTCCCATGTTCTCCAGCAATCTAAGCCTAAAGCAGCATAACTAAAGAGATAGCACTGGATAACTCGATCCCCTCTAACTATAAGCTTTATCAAAAGGGGAAGTTTAAGTTTGTATTTACATGAATTGGTAATCTTAGCTCTGGCTGGATGTTACAGGCTGGGGTCCTTCGAGAAGGTGAACCTTAACACCTCTCTGTGGTTTTCTGTAGTGTCTAGCTGGTTTTCTTCTAGCATTACTTTTCATTAGTTGTAACGGATACCCGCACTTGCTAGTATGAAGTGCAGCAGTATTTCTTCCAGCATGTATATAATTTTTGATAAGGCCTTAAATGTTAAATATTACTCTGATCTCACTATAACACATTCTTCCACTTCTGTTCTATTTGGGATGTTGTATACTGAAAATATAAGCTCTTGCAGCTTTCTTAGATAAATGGTTATCTTCTTATCCCCCATCCATAAACCTGTGAAGTGTACTACTAACCAGTGTCCTGTTAACACTAGTGATGCCCCAGCTCAATATTGATATCAGATATCAGCTTGTCAGCCAAAATAAAAAAATCAGAACCTAAAATCTCAGATATTACCATACTGATACATTCCAGGTCTGTTATCATTTTTTAACCTATTGGTTATTAATAAATAGCTCAGTTGGTCTCATACATGCTGTTGTCAGCTTTTATTATATCTATATGAAATATAATTTCAAGCTTTTCAAATATTTCACGTTATATATTTGTCATGTATGATTCATGCTGATATTGTGTCTGTCAAAGTTCCAATACCAGCATCGTATTGGAGATGGAAAATCCTGTATTGTCTAGTTAATGGACCGCCCCACCTGAGCTGTGGATCTCTGCAGCTACTTTCTTTTGGTTTTATGATTTAAACTTTCTCCATAATTGTATCTCTGAACTGTCTGCTTTGTACCTTGGTCCTCCATGATGCTGGTCATTTACAAATACGGCAAACATCTCAGGTTTTTAACAGAACAGCTGGATTTTTACTGGAACTAAGTGACACACAGGTGGAACCTGTTGCTAGCATCTGAGATGTGAAGGTGTTTTATTTTGTTTGGGGGTATTAGAGTGTAGGGGGCTAGAATATATGAAAGAAATTTATTTTTTCTTCAATTTTGTTCAAGCTTGCCAAATACATCACACAATAAAATACAGAGATGTGTTTGGTTGTCATGTAACAAAACCTGAAAAAGTTTCTTAGTCATTGCAGAAGGATTTGTATGTAGGTTGTAATGGAACTGTGTGTAGGGGATAAATTATTGAAATGTGCTAACATTTGGTAGCTTCTTGTGGTGAATTACAAAACACTAAATCTCCATTAAGGTTTGTGTGTGTTTTTTCTTTCTTTTTGTTTGTTGTTGAATTTTTTACCCCATTTAGCTCTAGTGAAAATAATGATCTTTTTCCTCCTCAGGTACAATGCTGTCAGCGTGCTTCCTGCTGCTCTAGGGAAGAAAGTGAGAGATATAGCCTCAAAGGTAGATAAGTAGTCTGTTTTTATTTATGGATAAAGAATCATACATACAAAAACTGGAAAAAAATGTCCTCTGTTATTTAGAGCTTATAATATTATTATTCTACCACAGTCATTAGATCTATAGAGTGTGTTGTGATAACAAATTTTTTCTGACCAAGATTTGTCTGCTATCCTCAGGCTAGTGCTGCAGGAATCGAGGGAAACCTTTCAGGAGATCTGTTGCAGAGTGGTGGCATGATCATTGTTTCAAAAGGTAGTCTGTCTGTCTGTTTTGTTAATAATTTGGAAACTCAATTTTCCTATATTTCCACAAGGGGGCAGTGGTGTTTCACATTGTAACTGTAATCAGGTCAATGCTCAGCAGGGATGTTCACTACCTTCTCTTTATTTCTTGGCTCTAAAATTATTTAAAAGTCACATTTTGGACAGCTTTGATTTCATATAAAGGGTCTGATGTTTAGTTAACAAGTCATGTACTAATATGTTAGAACCTCTCCACATTAAAATGGGAAGGAGGGATTTATTTATTTTAAACAGGTAAATCAGATCAACATATCATTTCCCTGTTGATTCCGATAATTTTCAGGGTCAAGATAAACACTAGGAGCCAAAAATGGAAGACTGCTTCACTGCTACTTTCAGTTAATGTGCTGATGGTCTTTAATGATGCTTCAGGGCAGCTTGCCCTGATAGAAAGGAGTTTAAACCACAGGTCGCTCTGTCCTGTGTGGCTCCACAATTACATCTTTATTCCGCTTAAACTCCTTCTTGGAAACCGCCCAACTTCTCACTGCATGTTAATTTATGCTGGGATGTAACCAGGAAATGGTTATAAGTTACGCTAGGGTAATGTTTGAAAATATAACTGCACTAAACAAAGGTGAATATTTTGAAAAAGACGTTAGTAAAACAGTATATTTTATACAATATTGTTGAGCTGGAAAAAGGTAAATCTGGGGAAACAATGGGGGAAGAAAGCAAATGGGCTTTAGCTTAACATAAAAATATTATAGAATCTCATTATCAATATATAATGTTTGATACTCTAGATTTACTATATAACAGGTAGTGAAATTACATTTTTTATTTTATTTTGCAGTGACGTTGAAATTATAATTATAAGAACAGAATAATTATAAACATAAAGACAACTACAAGTTTCCGTGCACTTCATTTTTTTGTCATAGGGCCACTTTAAAATTCCTTTGTCTGCCATCTAAATCCTTTAACCCGATTCTGTTCAAAAGTAGATCTGTCTGAAAAACAAAAAAGAAACTGCAGATTTGAGGATGTGAGCTGTTTTCTTTGCTAATCTCAAACAGATAATTCTGCTATAAACTCTGGTTTGGTGCCCCTTGTTGGATTGGAGGAAAAAAACTAAAAGATAAAAAATAAAAAAATAAAAATTATTTTTAAACATAACTCACAAAGCATACAGATCCCCATCAATCTGGATACTCTTTCGTTGTCATGCTGGTTACCTGCTTGGTCACACATTACTATGAATGGTATCCCTTTCTTTATAGTGGATGATTTTGGCAGTTTTTTTTAAAGACCCACCCTCTCCAATTGAAAAATAAATGCACACGGACAACCCTGGACCCACTCCCAACGGGGGAACGCCTATTGGATAGCTGCATAAAGCTGACTATTAAACGCTTTCGAAAGCATGTACAAGGCCCATTTCTCCTCGTGTACGCTCTGTTTACAAGTTGCTATTTGCTTCATGCAAGCTTACTTTCCAAAAGAAGATTGACAATTTTTCCACTATGTCAGACTCACCACAAGTAAGAGAAAATGGGGACGAGCACATAGGATGACCTTACGTAAACCTATCACCAGAATGATTGACAATTAGAGGACGACTTATTTTGATGATCCACCTGGAAAAACAACATCCTCCACTTAAGTGCCATTTAAAGCAAGTCAGCCATTTTGGTTGTTATAGACACTAAAGTATAATCAGCTAACGCCATGTTTACTCCTCCCACAAACTTCTCGGGAGAGGAGGTCAGGACTGCGGGTTGGTTCCTACGTCCTCTCTAATTTAAAGCCCTCTATGAAATCTTGCATGAAGCTAGACATGTCCACCAGCTGCAGAATCCCACTTTAAGTTCTCTATATATTCAGATTATCTGATGTTTCAAGACGGGAAGATACTGCCGAACACCATCAGGCAGACACTAATTTTTTATTTACTGAACAGCTGAAAGGAATCCTGTCTTTTAATAAAGTTAATCTTATTTCCTTCCGTGTATAGGTGGAGAAAAGGTGTTATTCCACTTCATCCAGGATTCACCAGGAGACTTTGTACCTTTGGAGGACATCACCAAGGCTCTCGGTATCTCTGCCACAGTGGAAGCTGGGCAGAAACCTGTGGTAAGACCTTTTGTTAAACTGATAACCCTTTCCTGATGCTTTGAGAATTGAATTGTAGGGTTGAGCCCTGTTAATAAAGCAGGAACCGTAGATAAAGCATTGTTCTTTACTAATCTATGTTGGATGAAGGGTGGCTTTGGTCCATGTTTATGATTATATGCAAAGAATTGGAATAAAAATCTGCTCAAAACTTAATAAATTATTGTGAAATGAATATCTGCTTACCGTATTTTCACGACCATAAGGCGCACCGGACTAAAAGGCGCAGTATCAGTTATGTGTCCCATTTCTGTATTTAACACACACATAAGGCGCACCGGACTATAGGGCGCGTTTTTTATATACAGGTACATGTCCTCTCAGGTGGATTTTCCCACTTAAAAACATATTAAAACTACTTTATTCCCACTGATCACAGCAAATAAAGCTGCAAGGTGTATTTATTACAAAGTATTATTCAAACCTGGGAACCGGCCGTGAGAGACACATCGCTGATGACACAGGGCTGTGATTACTCCTCTGATACAGTTTATTGACGCATAAATTAACTTAAAACATAGGCAGGATAATAATCTGGATGAACTGACTGCAATGATTAAATTTTCAGGTGGACTTTCTCACTTAAAAAGATTTAGATTATTTAGATGAAAAAACACCTGCGGAGGTGAGCCCGGATGCGCCGCGGCCCAGAGGCTGCTGTTGAATTAAGTTTTCAGGTAGAAAAATAGAGCTGGAGCAAAACTGAGTATGATTGTGCTTTATTCATGTATTTATTACAGAGTATTAATCAAACCCCTCAAAGTCCTCATCCTCTGTTTCTGAATTAAACAGCTGCGCTAAATCCGACATGCCAGTTTCCCCTTCTTCTTCGCTGTCAGAGTCACTTTCCGTGCCGGGCGGCTCCTTGGAAATGATGCCGGCTTTTGCGAAAGCTTGAACAACAGTCCCAGCAGAAACGTTAGTCCAAGCATCAACAATCCATCCGCAAACGGTGGCATAACTTGCCCGGCGCTGCCTTCCACTTATCCTGAAACTGTGGTCTCTGTCGGCCATCCATCGCTCCCACGCCGCTCGCAGCCTTACTTTGAACGGCCGCTTCACACCGATGTCGAGCGGTTGAAGTTCCTTTGTCAGACCTCCCGGGATAACAGCGAGCACAGCGTTCATTTGATTCACCTTTTTTTTCACATCAGCTGTGAGAAGGGCACGCATGGAGTTACATATTAACAGCGATGGTGATGAGTGGAAAGAAAACCACCTGGTCTCCTTACATTCAGCCACTCTTTCATCATCTCCTCAATGAGGTGGTCTCAAAAGTCGCAGTTACAACACACATAGGGCGCACCGCACCATAGGGCGCACCGCACATTTTGATGGAAAAATAAGACGTTTAAGTGCGCCTTATAGTCGGGAAAATACGGTAAATTGATTATATATGTTTTACATGAATATTTAACATGTTGATAAAACTGTGAAATAACAACTAAATGCAAGTAAAGTTTTCAGTTAATTATTAAATGTATTTCATAATAAATAAAAATAATATTTAATTTAAACATGCATTCCCAAACTAGAGATCATTGTGGATTCATTTGGATGTTCAACTGAATGACTGTCGGCCAGTCAGTGTCAACGGGTTGAACCTGCACCCTTATTGACTCATCCCAAAAAGCGACTAGTCTTCCTTCTGATCGGAATGATAATTACTCTTCATGATGTTGGCAGTGAAGCTGTGGCGGAAAGAGCTGTTGAGCACGAAGCTGAAGTTGGTCTCTTGAGCACTTTTGCGTTCCATAAATTTCTTAACTTGAAGTTCCAAAACTATGAATTAGATACCCTCAAGAGTAATCTAACATGCTTCCCAGAATTAGTAATTTTTGTGTCAACAAACAAAAATTCAACAAGATATTACTACCATGTCACAAAGTATGGCAACTTCTAAATATGCAGTCATACTCGAAGTTGTGAAATCTCAGTGTAGCTCTATAAAATAAAATATTTTATCCATAAAACCATCTTTTGATAAATAATTGCATTTCACGTTTATTGCTTAGATCACTGGAGATGTGCTTGCATTCAAACATTACTGTAGTTTTATAACAACATATTGGAGTTTGCAATTCTCCCTGGGATTTACACCTAGATTACCTAGAAAGTCATATTCATCCTATTACCAACATCAGGATTAAAATTATATTTTTGTTGTTTGCTCTAACGGTATCAATGAGAAGGGTAGAAAATGATCTGAAGCTGCAACAATGGGGGATTAACGGTAAATCGCCAGGTACAAAAAAACAGTTCACAGCTTTAAAAGTCTGGATGAATTCACTCAGAATTTTCACTTCTCGTATTAATATGATGCAATGTGGAATCAGGTTCCAGCTTTTTTGTCACTCAAACATTATTGAAGTAAAAAGTCCAACTAACCAGATGAAATTATATTTTGGTGTTTATTTTTTATCTGCTGCCAGGTCCTCCTCACTACAGAGGGGTTACAGCTGGAGGATGGGATGCAATTAATAGTGTTTGGGATGCATGGCTGTTTTAGATTACACTGATGTTTAACTTGCACTTTTACTCCGTTATCAATCCTTTGCCCCGTCATTGAGACTTTCTTTTCCTCTTCAAGTTTCTGTAAGATGAGTTTTGGTCTCTCACACAAGAAAGCTCAGAAAGCTCAACCTTCTGCGCTCATCACTGTGATAGGTCTTTCACCTAGAACGTTCCCCTTTATACATGTGCATTCAGAGATTCATGAACAGTTCCAGCTGGGTTGAATTTGCAAGTTGATAACCAGCTTCATGGTACCGTTGATCCTGATTGCCATTGTTGGAGGAATCCCGCTGGGTTGAGCTCGCTTCATGGTACGGGCCTCTGCTGCACACTAAGAGAGAGACGGCATGCTACAGCGAGAGGAGGCTATGCCTGTGAAGCCTGTATGGGTTGACAGATATAAAAAAAAACAACTTTATTTTACTAAATAAAAGCTAAATGCAGTATATACCGTGGGTTTGTAGTTTCAGACTTTATTTATGCCGTAGGTGATGGAAACGGAAGTCTTTGTGTGTCTCAAGATTGGCAAATGAAATGACCCCTGAAACTGATTTAATATTTTCTATTTGTCGTTTTTGATGACAGAATAATCAGGAACAACACTATATTTAACCAAACTGTTCCACTTGAACCTTCTTTGCCATTTGATGATTACAGGCAAACGTGTTCGTGCAGGGCAACTTAATGTAATTCCATTAGGAATGAGGCTGTGCACTCGGTCAGCAGCAATTAACAAAAATTCGGACATGTGCAACAGAGGTAAGGGCTGCGCGAACAGTCCGCTCTCAGGGACAGGGCTGTCATGATTGCGTCACTTTTGCTACATGCACCCTTGCACCATGTTCAGTGCAGTGATTATAAATCATGCATGATTCTCCTGTCTTCTTTTACTTGCCTCTTGTGACTCAAACTGTCATTACCTCGGAGCCCAGAGGAAGTTTATAAAAAAAGTAATCTATATGCTTGTAATCTGTTTTCTTTATATGCAAAGTATAGAGCAAATACTAAATAAAAAAAAATTTTCTCCATTTTTCTACATAATTTTTATAACGTTTAATAAAATTTTTTTATCATATTTTCATTATTGACTTCAAAAAAACAAATGAAAGAATGATACAAACATCCTAATCTATGTAACTGACTTAGAAATAATTTTTTTATATAAATAGGTTTTTGTTTTTTTTCACTGAGTACGATCATCATTTGAAAACTGTATTAAATATTTTTTCAGGTTACATTGGTTTCACCTAAGTTCAACTGATAATCTGAAATATAACGGAAAAAGAAAAGGGAGAAAATCTGTGAATTTATTTTTTTTCTCTTTATTGCAGCCACAAAACCCCATAGGGACTAAATACTGTAGTAAGATAAATTACCCACAGTGTAAATTGTGGGTCTGTGATGTCGGTGTCTAATGTGCCGTGCGATAGAAATTATGTTTGAAACCCAACTTCTGTTTATATTGTAATTACGTTTCAAGGACTAATCGCTTTTGGATCAGTGATCTGAGTCCAGAGCTTGATAGAGATGTCCTGTGATCGTTGGCTTTTTTGATAAAGCAGATAAATTCACCACATGTACTTTTACCATTTTTCTTTCTGGCTCTGTTGCTTTTTCCCTGTGAGAGGCCAAACGTCAGAGCTGTTGTAGCGTCCCCCCATGACCTGTCTGACAACCAACAGATGTCATTGGGAACAGGAAAGACCTTGTTTCCTCTCAGGGGTCATAATGTGTCTGGAACAAGAGCAAGTCACAAGCTGGAACCGTCTTGGGTTTGGAAGGAGTTTGTGGTTAAAAAAAAAAGAATTAAAAAAAAATTTAAAAAAATTGATAAATCGTGTTCCTGACAGTTGGAAGCCTGAAATTCCCCCCCAAAAAAATAAAGAAATAAAGAAAAACTTTTCTCGAGGTACCTTCTTCATATACTAGGCAAAACCATGAATTATCGGTTTAATGTCTTCTTTAGAAAATTAAATTCCGTATGATTGAACTTAATCCCAGAATTTCCATGATCCTGTCCCGTTATCTCATTTGGTTTATACAGCTGGAAAACAGTTTGTAACAGTGAGCTTAAAGACCAATAGCTTGTTCCCCCAATTTGCGAATTTAAAGGCGATAAAACTTGTTCTTTTATTTTTAGCGTTTGCAAGCTAGTTTAGTTTAGCTTTTAATTTTGAAAATGTTTAGTTTAAAGGTATAGAGGAAAATCTTTTATTTCCACATGGATAATCTAAATAATTGGTCCTCCTAATTATCAATCATTCTGGTGGTATGTTTACGGAAGGCCGTCATACGTGCTTGTTCTATAAGCTATGTTTTTTGCTCATGCGCACTGTCACTGTGTAGAGCTACGGTCTCAGACAGTCATTGAATCTCACCTTTCTCAACACGGTTCTTTGAATATGACCGAGGGTAAGAAAAAGTGTCTACGAAGTGTATCAGAAGAAAAGAAAGGCCTCAGAAGTGGCAAGATATATCCAAGAATGCTTTGCGTGGAGAGCTCTCCTCTGGGATTTACTGTCAGAGCAACCCTGCTGTCACCATAGGCTGCTGCTACCCAGCGGGCTCAAACAGCATAGATGGCGCAGGCATCACACAGTGGAGGAGATACGTGACCAATGGGGAGCAAAAAGCAGTGATCATCTGTCCGAATGGTCAGTTAACTGAGTTCACTATAAAGTCCACTATATAGTCCCCGCTCTATATAGTGATTTAGGGGTTAGGCGGACGTTCAGACACATCAAGCTTGTATGAGCTACGAGAACAGCAACTTTTCAACAAAGCGTACTTGCAGAGAAATGGGCTTGTGCATGTTCTCGCACGTATTTAATTGGCGTTCCCTCTCTGGAGTGGGTACAGGGTTGTGCATGTGCTTTTTTCTTTTAAGTAGAGAGGGCGGGTCTTTTAAAGAAATTTGGGAAAAATCTTCCACTATACCTTTAAGTTATAATTTGTCTTTTATGTAATAAGACTTGCATAGGGGAAGACTTGCTTAATACTTATTTAACTAAATATGTCACCTAAGAAATATCAGCAGTAACCAATATAGGCTTATGGATACTATCTGCTAATAGAAGATTAATGAATGCAAACTTCCAACTCATTCTGTAAAACTAGCATCCCAGGTTTGCCTCTCCTCTCCACCCGTAGCTGCATTCATATTCTCTTTCTCCATTTGTTTTAATGCACATGAAGGCTGCAGCTACCAGGGTTGTGTTTAATGCTTGGCAGGACAGATGCATGTTGTTTGCTGATGAGGTGCATCAGCATAGCTTATTGCTGTGATTTGTTCCAGTAGTTATCATACAGTGTGCATGCATTAGACTCCACATCGTACCAACGTTTATTAGATCCCACTGCATTCTGTCATGGAAGAGTTTTGTGGGATTGCAAACATTTTACAGTATAAAGAGGCCATTGTGGAAAGTGGCTCCAAAGTAGATAGAAAAATGTTGTGTAAAATGTTTCCATCTACTCTGTGAAACTTTTGGAAGACAAATTGTCATTTTTTTTTAAGATTACTGTCAAGATTTCTAAGGCTTTTTTTTTGCACTAAAATCCATATACATTTTTGTATAATTAATTTACAGACTGGTTTGTGTATTTTATGTCATTTACTTGTAATAATGTTTCACTCACACGACATGCTGATCAAATTTCTAAAGCATTTTGATTTATTTTCTGCTTGACAGAAACGGGACTTGTTTCTTTTTACACCATCTGTGCTCAAGAGCTCTGGATCTGGCATTGGTTTTTTACTTGATGCCCATATTTAAATTTTCCCCCTTAAAAGAACCAATCCATATTTTCATAATCTAGCATAAATTACCTTTGCTCCTAGTGAAATCCTTCTAAAAACCTTTTTTCTTTTTACCAAATCTAAACTGTGTTATTCATGCAATCAAATTCAATTGTCTTCTTACAACCATTACATGATCTGATGTTAAGAAAGAAAATCCTGTTATAAAATAATGATCCAAGTAATAATTTTAGAAATTAAATCAATAGAAATAAGAGTTAAATGATCAGGTAATAAGTTCTAAATGTAAAATCTGCCCTTTTACTTCTGACCTTCAATTACAAACTACTCTACTATTTAATCAATTGTAGGAAAGAATTACAAAAAAAATCAACCATAATATTTTAAAACATGGAGAAAAAAAAGCTGCCATGTGTCTTTTAGGTCTTTTGATTCGAGACAATTTAAATAAATGTAATAAAAGTTTAAAATCCATTATAGTCTCATACCATGACGATGTTTATGGTTGGTCACTGACTTGATTTGTTCAGACTTGTTCATGTATCATGAAGCTCACTGTGTGTTTTGCTTTTTGTACCCTGTCTTGCAGTGCAATGATGATGTCTGCACACGATGAAGCAGAAGCGCCCGGTTTCACCTGAAGTGCTCAAATTGGAAGTTTTTTTTTTATTTTATTTTTTGGAAACCAAGCCAATTGCTGGGAAGCAATGACTGTCAACTCACCTATTTTGTTCAACTTGTATACCAAGAACTGCAGGTGGAACTCACAAAATTATGTTATTATTTTCTGATGATGCAGCAATTCTCTGCCTCATTTCAGACACATTGCCCTTAACTAGCTATAGACAGCAGATTAAATCCTTTGGTCAGAGGTGTGAGGAACACTTTCTGTTGTCTAAAAACACAGGAACTGATCTTTGATCTGAAGGCAGTTTATCCACAATCAAATGATCACCCACAAATGTCTTGGAATGAATATGAATGGACTATTATGCACAGTCAGGTTGACTATGTCTGTGACAGGTACCAGCAGCGGCTAGACTTCCTATGCAGGTTTTGGGCGTTTGATGTTTGTCAGAAAGGCATGCTGCTATTTACTATGTTGTAACAGAGAGAACCATTAGGTATTGCATTTTTTCCGGGTTTGGTCACCTAAGGGCCAAACTCACTGGTCTCATACAAAGAGCTAAGATGTTGTTAGGAGTTAAACCGCATCCCTAACTTAAGACCATTATCAGTGAAACGATAGGTCCAGGTCCAGACAGTTTTCTCGGACCCCACTCATAATCTCTATCAGTATCTTCCCTCAAGTCGCTATCTCAGAGTTACTGCATGTAGACCCCGTTGGTACAACAAATCATTTGATCCTTTTCTATTAAATCCATAAACAGTAAATTGTGACAGCAGGCAATAAATTTTGGATTGGAAACGGCACTAACTGTTTTATGCATTCATTTTTTTCTAATTGATTTATTATAAAAGTGGTTTTATATGTGAATTTAATGTGACACTTATGGCTGTCGATTTTGCAGCAGTCAGAGTTTGTACACAAGACAATTTTCCATTGAGACAATAAGATTTTTACCTTAAAATCATAAAATCGGTCAGAAAAACAAAACAAAGAAATATAAACTGACTGCATAACTGTGCAAAGGCCTTTGATATGAGCTCTTTGGCTAGCTAAGACTTCTCTTGTTTACCTCATTGTCCATTCTCTTAGAACAAGATCTCTCTCTACATATACTGGTGTTTGTATTATTTGTCAATTTGTGTCAGATTCCTACTGGGCTTACCCCTCTCCAAAATGTTAATTCCTTTGTTGTTTAGGATTCATCTTACCATTAATACTGTTGCTGAAGCTATAATCCTTATTGAGCTGAAGGTTATCTAGTAATTTGGAACCATGATAATAACCTAATTTCTTTCTGGAGTAATGTAATGCCAAAGCATGACTATGCCACTGAATTTATCTGTCTTAAGTTTATACATTCTCTTAGGTTATACAGATATTTTTGTTGTTTATACCTTTCTATTTTCTGGGTAATTATAGGTGAGCCATGTTTTCTTTTCAACGGGATGCCTCTTTCTTTCAGACCGATTCCTTAGTCCAGAATAAAAAGATATTGATGCATATAGGGCTGCAACTAACAAATTTTTGCAAATCAGTTAATCAGTGGATTATTTCTTTCAATTAATCCATTAATAATCCCATAACCAAAGATTCCTTAAAAAAGATATTTGACTGAATTAAACCAGGTAAAACTAAAATTTTTACTTGAGGACTTCTGGATAGAACATATTGACAGGCAAAAACATTTTTTCCTACTTAAATGCAATATATATATATATATATATATATATATATATTTGTTTTTTTTATTACAATTTTGATATAAGTACTGCTCTAAGTGGGTCACTCTGTCAGCCAAAGACATGTTTTACAGTCTCTATACTCCAATTAACGTTTAATCATTTAATTCAATAATAGATTAATCATGATTAATCCGATTGTTTCAGCCCTAGCTGTATATCTAAAACCAAAACTTAATGCTGTTTTGGTTGCTCTCTCCTATTTGATGATTTTGATTATTCATAAACTCTCCAAACCATGGCTTTAGCTAAGTATTCAAATGGTCAAATATAAAAAAAAAATGCTACCAGGAAAGATATTTTTTAATTAAACAGGATATCTGTCATAGATTGAAATATTTTCATTATAATTAATGATATTTACTGTTTTTAACAGTGATTTCAGAGCCAGTTATTAATCTATCCAACACAAAAAAAGATATGTTGTAATTCCACCTTGCTTTTCTTTAATTCTGTTAAATGTTCATTGACTTAAATAAATGGATTAAGTAAAGAGGACATTTAAAGCAAACTCTTGATATTGCACCAGTGGAGACAGACACTTTAATAGCAATAATTACAGATCTGAGTCACAAAAATAGCTGTCTAGATAATTACATAGCAGCAGGAACATTCATAGAAACATCTTTAACATCTGAAGTCTTGCAAAGCAACAGTTTTACTTGCTAAATATGTCTTTAAATAAATAGTAATCTCATAAGGGTGTGCAGGTGAAACAGAATAATACATTTTATAGAAAATAAATGCATTTGTACTTGGTTGATCATTTCAAAGCAACAGTTTCACTATGTGAGACAAAACTGAAGTAAGAAACAGATGTACCTGATTTCTGTCAGGTATTATGCACAATCAACAATTACACGTTTATATAAACTCAGTGTTCTGTTAAGAACAATTGCGCTGTTTTTAAGAAAAAAAGAACACGAATCAAACTCGAACCTCTACCAGCTATCCAAAGCTGCGTCTCAACTTGACATTTAGCCTCCAGCTATATTCCACCATCCGTAACAACCATGATTTTTTTTTTTCTTTTTAAGAAACTGTTTGACAGTTTGGGAAATATGTAATTGGCTTAGAGGAGATGGGTAGTCAATCAGGGAATTTTTACTAATTTCTGGTAAACATAAAGGAGAGGCTAGCTGATGGTTGTCTCAGCATGAAGAGCTAATTTCTTTATTGATTAACGTGTTCAGCTGCTGCTATTCAAATTCAAGACATAAGGTGGTTATTTTCTGGGAATTCTGTTTATAATTTTTATTCTGTTTTAAATTAAACACTGTTTTAATTAAAAGTGGAAGCAGTTTCTTAAGAAATGGTTTTAATATCACATATTTGATTTTACAGAGCCTTTATGCCTTTCAAGAATGTGTGATATTTCACTATAAGGTTAGGTATTGGACAGTCCGCTAACTTCAGACAACATCATCAGACCAGCTTTACAATTACAGACTACTTTTTCTCAGTGGTTGAGGTATCTTCCAGTATCCCTCCCTCATTGTGGTTGAATGCCTTGCTCTAGATTGCAGACCTTACTGAAAGTGATCAAATAAGCCTTCTGAGGATTCACCAGATTTCACTTTGTAGTATCCTGGAGAAAACAGCCTGTACATCCTTCTGATCACGGCTGTCATCCAGCTTTTTTTCTGCGACTCAGTTTGGAGGGCATGCCCATGGAGGGCATCTGTATAAAAATCAGAAAAAGCATTCTCCACTGGGTCTCTTTGATGCAGATAGTTAGTTACTCTGCTCTGAGTTTCTCATTGTCTCTCTGTAAGAACTCAGCCAACATGCAAAAAATGCTCTGTCGCCTATTTCTAACATTTCATTCTTTTGATCTCTTCCAACAACACTTAGACCTTAGTGAACACAGTGGAAACGCATTTCGAAAGATGCGTTTCCATTTTCTCTTGATTTTAATCTCTTTACCACAGGACACCAGCCATTCCTCTTTATGACTATAGAGGAAGTGTCAACCCATCAACATCCTGCTCCGTTCTACACCCATTCATGAATAAGTTCAAAACTCCTCAGCTTGGGGCAGAAACTTAAAACCCACCTCCTCATTTTAATAGCAACTCGAAATGACTCAGCTAGGCCCTGGAATGTACCATATGGACACATAATTAGAAATATTTTTTTTTATTAGTGTGTGACCAGAATGATCTAGATCTATATGATGTAGGTAACTTGCTCTCTGGGGTATGAATATGGCATGACAAGAACGTTTCTTTAGCCCTGCAGCTGTAAGGGTTGGGTGAAACAAAGAATGAATATGAGAAAAACCGATATCGCCAGTAAAGTTGTTAAATCTGTTATCCTATGGACCATGCTTTTTGCCCTAGGTAAAATGGTATCACGGAGCCTTTAAGAAAATCAGATCATTCTCACTAGTCGTGTAACGCTGCAAGTCATGAAATTGGTCACCAGCCACTCATTCAATAGGATAATGATTAAAAACAAATTACGAAATCAAAACAGAAACGCTCATCTCACACTTTTTCTATGGTAATCTCAGTCAGACACCTAAATCTCACAGAAAAAAAAAAAAAAAAAAAATCTGTTGGCTAAACAAAAGAGGAGAGAGTAAAACGAGAAGCAATGATCTGCATAACCTCCAGAAGTTGCACATCCTCCAACATGGGAAAAGGGCAAAGAATGTTGGACATAAAAATAATCCAAAACATGTTTTTTAATATGATAGTTTCCAGCCATTAATCATTTTCAGTCAGATAATTTTTTTCTTTTTATTTTCTTAATTTCAGCACAATATTATGGAAATTCAATTAAAGTAAAAAAAATAATCTATTGTTAACAATAATCTAATATCTAATGTTTTTTTTTTAACGTGCAGTATATTTCCCAAATGTCAAACACTTACCTGAAAGGTGATTCCTTAATGCATAAGAATATCATCCTAAAGACAATTTCAGTTTTTATATTAAAAAAAAAATCAGAAATTCATAGTGTTTCATAGAACCAATAACAATAAACAAATGTTTAGATAATTGTTAATATTATGGCCCACTAAACCACAGGGAAGACTGTTGACTTGACAGCTGTCCAGCAGGTAGTGACTGATAGCCTTAAAAAGAAGAGAAAGTCACAAAAAACATTGCTAAGTGGCTAGCTGTTTAGAGTGCTGTATCAAAACTAAGATGTGGGATTTTTTTGTGTAAGGAATAAAGTAGATAATAAAGGGTGAGTATAATCTAAATTTTTTATTTTTTTTCCCCACAAAATTAATTTGTGGTTTTATTTCCAGAGAGCGGGCTGCACACTGCTGTAGGCTTTACCACCGTTTCTTTGCAGCAAGTCCTGGAGTTTTTTTTGCATGAAAGATGCATATGTGGGTTCTCACCAGGTTTCAAAGTTTGCAAAATGGTCTAAATGGTCTGCAGATTGCTTTTAGGAAGTAGTGTGTAGTTATTTGTCTGTGTTCCACCGCCATTTTGCAGAGGTAGGTGGGATGAGATTGATTAGGTATTGGCCATAACGCATACTCTTGAAATATATAGTTATTTGTATAATCAATTTGATATGAGATTTTCTTAGTGTACCAAATAAAAAAGAATAAAGTAACTTTATGATGATATACTGATTTACTGATATGCAGCCATAATTCATTCGTACAGCCATCAGCTTTGATGAGGACAACCGTCTGTCATCGGTATTTCCCTGCCCAATCATGTGTATCACAACAGTATATGCCAGGAGGTGAAGACCAAGAGACAGACTATAAATGATCAGCATTCACATTCAATAATACAGTCTCTTCGAGACCTAACAGTCATGTTCAGTATCCTAAGGCAGCCTAAATTTAATGCACAACAGGAAATATTCCAGCCAGCTGTCTGATGTCAACTGTGTTTAAAAGCTCTGCTCAGCCACTATCTAATATGATGTCGGTTCTGCTTTGATTCTCCTGTCATTACCTCTTAATAAGGATAGAAAACAACAGTCCTGGCCCTAGCCAATCTTGTTTATAGCAACAGTGTCCAGTTATGCTTCCAGGGCTTTGTCGATTGGCTTCAGCAGTCGCCTCATTTAGACCCACTGCACCTTTCTTTTCATCCTATAGACCACTGATCAGTGTTAGATCAGAAGGTAGGAGACTTTATCATCTGTTGCTCTTCCATGTGTGTATTGAAAGGGTTTCCTTTTTTCTTTCATGTAACTAGCTCTGCACAGAGGCTCAAACTGCTCTAATTACTGATTCCTGTCAGGGGAGCAGCTTTTCTACTAAATAACTGGAATTTGGAAACATTATTTACAAGTTTGATGATCTGACTAATACTATACAGAAGTTTTAATCTTTCAGGCAGGCATGAAACAATGCAATACATCTGAGGCATCAGGCCGTTGATGTTAAGTCCAAACTAGGTTAAGTTTTCATTGCTATTAGTACAAGAAACATATAACTTTTAGAGTTTTTAATAAGTTTAAAAGCTGCAAACATTTTCCCTGTAAAGGAGTGTGGTTTCTTGCTGATTACTGCAATAATTCTGGACTAACAATAATTTGCAGAAGTGGAGGAAAAAAATAGATAAAAGGATTGCTTTGGAAATGCTGCCTATATTAGTGTAACAAATATGGAAAGCCGCAGTTCTATATGAATGCTAATTCAAAAATTTAAAGCTGCAAAGATTTAACAGTCTTAAAGTCTTTGGGTGATTTGTTTTCATATAACTGTAACCAAACTCACTGAGTGTGTCTAATCCACTGTGGTTTTACTGTAGCAAAGACTCTTTCGTTTAATTTATATCAGAGATATGATCTTTCCTTTTCTTTCTAAGGTGGCATGATGTCCTAAAAGCAGACCTAACAAAGGCGCCTGCGGGCCAAGTTCTTACCATATACTGTAAATCAGACCTATATAAAAATGGCTTACTGATGGTTTGTTCATCAAAAGCTCTAAATCCATCCAGGTAGGCTTTAACCCTCCCACAAGGGTTTTGTTTTCAAACGTACCCTTTTTATTTACTCACTTGTTTTTTAGTAGGACACAAGAAAAAGAACAAGTGACCTCCTCAACCAGAGACAACTCTTCCAGTTCAAAAGGAGACTGGGGTTAGAAGGAAACAAAGGTGTAGTCCAGGATATCATGAAGGTTTTACACATCCACACGTCTGCATCTAGGTTTAAGTCATTGCTCTGCTCCAGATAACTGTATATCATTTGCCAGCAGGGCTTCTTACAAAGCAAATCTTTTCTTTTGACTTGAGCAGTGGGATTTCTACCAGACACGGCATTTCTGCTCGGGGTTCATAGGACTGCCAATGGGACACTGAAAGGCTTCTGAGAAGGCTTCGAAATTCTGGAGAGATCCAAGAACCCTAAGGATGAAGAAAACAAACCAATGAGGACAAGGCCATTTAAAAGAAGTATTAGATGAGGATTTTTCAATGATCCTACTGCAAATTATGCAAATTTGAATAAACATACATTTAGGATGGAAGGTTCAAACCTTTTGATCAAGTCCCTTGAGATGTAGCTAAACTGATAGTAATTACATCATCCTTACAAAAAATGAAAACACATTTCACAGTTTGTCATATTGCAACTTCAAAAGTATGTCATTTGGATTTGACATGACAGACCACAATGAAGATCAAAAATGCATTTAAAATATTTTCGATAACAAAATCTAAAACCTGTAATTTTTTTTAATTTAGCCCAATTTAATCATTTTTTTGCAAACCAACTTTTTAGGATATTTTCCGTTTACCCCTGAGACTAAAAGGATTTCTCAGAGATGCCCTGCAAAGAAGGTATTGCCAAAGTTTTTTGTTTAGATTCAAGTCTTTGCTTATGCATTTTGGTCTTTACAGATAAAGCATATAGTGGCTCTATTTCTACTCTAGCTTTCTGCATAAGGTCAGATTTACAGAGTTAACAACTCTTGACATCAAGTGATCGGACCTGATTTTTGGATGTCTGTGGCAAATATTCAACTTCTTTAGTTCTTGTCTGATTAATACTCTCCTTCTCTGGCGTGTTTTTGGTAAGTTCAGTGTTTTCAAACCCTTTTAGTTTTCGGGTGATGTGTTCAACAGGGGCTGAGCTAGGTTGGGGGCCACGGGTAGCCTTAACCCTTAACCAATCATTGGCCACTTCTGTGGCCACCCCTACCAGGTGATCCCTGGAAGGGACATAATTTACAAGCAGTTTAGAAAACATGGATTTCTAAATATATGCTTCTTTTTTGAGTGAGGGATTTAGGAAAATCAAATACGTCATAATTTGGAAAATACAGATGTTGTGTCTGCCGGTTTTCCTCTTAGGACAGTGTAGATTGACTCTGAGGTTTTGATGCCTATCTGCTTTCAGCCACCCCTCAGTACACGCTGGTTCCTGCCACCCCTATAAAAATGTCCTGTATAGGGGGAGTGGCAGCCTAGTGGTTAGGGCATTGCGCTTGGAATCCAGAGGTTCTGAGTTCAAGTCCCACTCCCACGGACTGCCACTGTGGGTCGCTGAGCAAGGCCGTTAACCCCACAATGCTCTTCGGGCACTGCACAATGGCAGCCTTTGTTCCTTCAGTGAAGCGTTGTTCTCCAACAGACCTCTGAAGCCTTTACTGTATCTCATGGATTTTGAAGTTGAACGATCAGAAAACAAAGCTATTCCTACTACTTCCCATGTTACCTTCCTTCTGTTGGTCTTTTACACAACAGCCTAATAAAAGCAATCAAAGGTTGTTTTGAAAATATGATAAGAGGTTATCAAAAAGCTTAAACTGTATGAACATCTGATGTCTTTAAATGTCTACACTAGAGTATCTTACCTGTATTCTAATGGACTGTGCGAGTCTGTCTTAATGGACTGGCTGGCGTACTCAGGCCGATAGGCTCCACACCACACCTGGGGAATAAGAACTGCATTAGCAGAAAGTTTTTTTCATTTCTTCGGGTTTTATGCAGACCTTTGTTTAAAAAAAAAAAGGAGTTTAAATATGATCATGGCTTCCAAACAGTTACATTTTCTTACATATATTTTTTCTGGGTTAGTTCAGTTGATCTGTTTATTGTTTGGTTCATTTGCATGCCTAAATGACTGCAGAGGTGTGTCTCGATTTCCAGATTAAGAGCTGATTAAGCCCCCTCAATTTGCTAAAAGGCCTCACTTAAGGATTATGTTTTCTATCCTCACTTACTTGGGCGAAGTTTAGAAAAAAAAGTTGTTTATGATCCATGTCTAGACCAGGCAGTTGAGGTTCTTCACCCTCAGTTTCCACCCACTTTAGATAAGCCTGTAAACATAGACCTTCAGTTAGAAAACCCAGTGCAGGCCAACGGGAGTTAATTATGAGCTATGTAGTGTTAGACTTGTTGCACTAAAAGCAGTTACATGTGTTTTTTGTTTTTTTTTCTGGTGGCTAACACTTACCTTATATGCTTGACGAACCCCTCCATTGTCTGCAATGTTCTCCCCCAAAGTACTGATTCCACTAACCTGCAATCACCCAGCCAAACAAACAGATAAACACCCTCTGGTGGTTGAATAATATGTGATTTACCATCAAAACAAAAAACACCACCAAAAACAGGAGACTTACATTCTGTCCACCAGCTAGGTTCCAGATGAAGTTGCCATATTGTTGCACCATGCACTGTGACTGTTCCTTAAAGTGGTCAGCAGAGTAATTACTCCACCAGTTCAGCATATTGCCATCCTTGTCAAAATTGCGCCCTGCAAGGAAACATAAGTCACAACTGCAGTTTTCCTCTAAAATGGTGTACTTGAGAACCAACATTAATTAAGTTATTGCTCTTCGATGGGAAAACAACTTTATTTTTATCATTTTGGGGTTAAATCATTAATATCTCACCATTGTCATCAAAGCCATGAGTGATTTCATGCCCAATAACCATTCCGATTCCTCCAAAGTTAAGGGCCTGATGCTGATGTTTACTGAAGAAAGGTGGCTGCAGGATTCCAGCTGGAAAAACTGGATAGATAGAAATAAGTAAAGAGTAAATACTAGTGATGGACCAATATACAACATTTTACTTTCAATCTGAATCTGATACTTCTATTTTCTGCAGATCCACATTCTTTTCCAATACCAGAGCTCACTTTCCTTTATCATTATCATCATTACCGTTAATTTTTTTAAGAGACTGTCATAAATTTCTCTCTACAAGCAAGTATGATATGTATGAATGTATATTCCAAAGGGCAACTTGAGATTAGTATAGGGTCAGAGAAGGAAGTCCATCAAATTCCTTCCTAAAAACACTATAGAGCTGTAAGAGTTCAAACTGACTATATTTATTAAATCAAAGACAGATGCTCATAAAGGGGAAAACTTTCCAGCTGTTTGTGAGATTTTCAACCTAAATTAAATTAGATATAAAAGAAGACTGAATAGAGCTGCCCCTAAGGATAAGGCCGATTTTCAATGAAAGCAAATCTAGAATCTTATTCAATATCAGGTCTGATATAGATATTAATATTGCATTGGTTCGTCTCTATTAGATTCTCTGTTCTGCTGTTCCTCTGAATTTTCTACATTAAATCATGTTGCAAACAGCATCTTCAATTAAATTGATGGAAGAACTTTTTAATGACTGCCTTTATCTTCAAATACAATTGCAAGCACCATAGGACAATTTTAGGGCAGCTTTGCTTAGCCATCAACAATATATCTTTCCAAAGCATCACGTGAACAGATGTAATGGAAAGTGTCTATGAGTGTTCTTTTTCATGGTTTGTTAAAGATTCTTGATTGAATTTGGGCGTGGACTTTAACTGGACCCTTCTAACTCAGGAATGTGCTCTGATTATTTCAGTCTATCCATCATTGTTATTAACCTGAAAGTGAAATTCTCCGACTAGGTTCTCATCACCTCTAGCCAGATTCCCCACAGCATGATACTGCCACCAATTTATTTGTTTATTTTTTTTGACCAAAGAGATATTATTTATAGCAAGATAATAAGTATAGGTTTTCTGCATGACATTGCATTTAGCATATAGAACAAAAATGGAAATGTTGGTCTGATCTTTGCAGAGCACCTATTTCTACATTATGCTGTGTCTCTATGGGACTCGCAACAAAGGGGTTTGTTGCAAATTCAAAACAAGATTCTCATAGCTTTCTTTCAAAAATCTCTTGGTTCCTGGCACTCTTTTGTCAGTCAGATTTCTAAAGAGCCTGATTAATAGTTATTCTGTGAGCTGAATCTCCTACCTAAGCTCCTAAGCTCTGCAGCTCCTTCAGAGTTAATATGTGCCTTGAGTCAGTGAGTACTGTGTATCTGACCAGTCTGCTGTTTGTTTTGGTCCACTGATTCTCATTTAGTAATGTTCTCCAACAAACTTTGTAAATCTCTTCAGTGGACTATCTTAAGTGGGTGAAGAAAATGTGCTGCTGCTCTGGAGTTAAAGCAGTAATAGAGTAATGAGGGCTGAATAAGGATAGAAACCTGCCTGATATTTATAAATAAAAACAGATTTTAAACCATCCATCATTTCACAATCACAACTAGATTTGTGCTGGTTTATTGTATAAAACCACATTATGTTCTTAAAAAAAAAGGGTCAACGGTTATGAATATTTCTGGGAGGCACTATAGAAGCCATGTGTCTGTTATAGGGAGCTCCACTAATCTCACTGAACCTCTCACCTATCTGGTTCCTGTTTGGGGAGTAAAATGCATTCACCACAGCGGCTCCGATGATCCACCTGGGGAGACATTTAAATAGGATAAAAACGTCTTCTTGATTATGCAAAAATCCTTTTATTGCATTCACAAAGATTATTCTCTGAAACTGAAAAAGAAGCTGACTGAAACATCCTCTCTTAATGTCCAGCACAGTGACAGACTATAAAAGCATCAGCTGCATATTATTTTAGCTAAGTGCATCCCTTTGTATTATACGTGCAAAAGAAAAAAAATAACTAAAACAACACAGTGACCATCAGCCTGATCTTAGGAAAACAAGGGTTTTTTGAGGTATCTGCCCCTTACAGATCAGGATCCACTGGCTCTCTCAGCTTCTTCAGGCTCTTCTGGGCTTCAGACTTCAGGTTCTCCAGAATGTTTTCAAAATAGTGCTCCTCACTGAAATTCAGCTAAAAAAAGAAATCTAATGAGCAAATATTTTAGACAGCAGACACTGAATACATGCCCAATTTTTTACTTACATGAGCATACTCCTGATCTAACTTCTGGTTGCTTTCCTGCAAAATATGGTCTGGATAACCAATATGCTCCTTTATAGCCATAGCCTATAGAGATGCAGAACAGTTAGTGTGATATTAGAAGGTGTTTTGAGGAAAACTCTTGGTTACTTCATTTTATACCTTTTCTCTTGCTTTTTCTTTGGATTGTGTGTCCATCCAGCTCAACTCCTCCAATGTTTCCACATAAGCTGTTTGGATCTTACTGATGAGGTCACTAACCTGTGAACACAAGAAATATACTCATAGACTAGGGCAAGACTATACATGTCACGATACTAGGGTCACGATACATTATTATATATTATCACAATATTGCAATATCACTTATACTGTGATATTTTACACAGCTATCAAACTAAATGTATGGATAAAAAAGCAAGTTCTGTATATGTTCGTCAGAAGATGTTGATCATTTAGTTATTTTTGTATCTATGGTGTTCGGAGTTTGAGTCAGTCCGTGTCTTCCATTGTGACTGCCTCAATTACAGATAAGGTGCTGCGGCACACAGCAAAAGGGCTCCACAGCACTATCTGCCAGAGTTGCAGAAAAATCGATATTAGGAACTGAAAGCTTGATACTATATCGGGCAGGCACGAATCAAGATATATGGCAGAATAGATTTTTTTCCACACCCCTAGAACAGACTGTATTTATTGTTGCAAATAGAAAATGTAACTCTGATTAAAAGCCCAGAACAATAAGTCTGTGATGGGCTTAGAAATAGTGACCCTTCGAAAAATAAAATGTGTTACTTAACTTATAATATGTTCTATTATAAGTTAATTATACAGTTCTACATCAAACACTTGATTTTGATCAATTTAAAGCAATTTTATGTTTTAATGTTCTGTTTGTTGCTTTATTGAGATTTCATAGAGTGCTTCAGAACATTCAGTATGTTTATGTTGGTTAATGTTATGTTACTCCTATTAACAACACAAGTGATAATAAAACTGAAGATGTTAGAATATGTTCTCATCTTAACTTGTCTTTGAGTTATTTTATGTTATGTGTTCATGCATTCTAATTTACATTGAAAGGTATAGTTGTAAGTTCTGCATCCTGTCACTTTCTGTTTATGTGCATGTTGTACTGCTGTTGTCCACTGGGGGCAGTGAGACCAAGTTCGTGTGTAGGCTGCATTGTTCTAATAAAATAGAAGAAGTGAAGACTTTGATAACTGGAACGTTAGCAATAAAGTGAACACAGTTATCCAACAAAAGAAGTGTGGTTTATTGTCAAACATGAGTACTGAACAAGAAAACGCAACAGGTTATGGGCCCAGGCACCGCACGGGAGGACGATGGGACAGACTAGTTTTCAACGGAGACGAAAACAACTACGAACTTTGGGAGGTAAAGTTCCTCGCTTACTTAAGAACGCTAGGCCTAAAAGACACCATCCTATCTACGGCGGAGCCAGACGAAGAGAAAAACGCGGAATGTTACGCGGAACTAATCCAGGTCCTCGATGATAAGAGCCTGTCGTTGGTGATGAGAGATGCCGCCGACGATGGGAAGAAAGCTCTGCAGATACTACGCGGGCATTACGCCAGCCAGGGTAAGCCCAGGATCATCGCCCTTTACACGGAGCTCACGTCCCTACTAAAGGAACCCGGCGAAACAGTGACAGATTATGTTTTACGTGCTGAAAAAGCGATAACGTCTCTGAGAAATGCAAAAGAGGTTATTAGTGACGGACTAATAATAGCAATGATTCTGAAGGGACTCCCAGAATCATACAAACCTTTTGCTATTCACACAACACAGAGCAGTGAAGATTTGACGTTCACTCAGTTTAAGAGCAGACTTCGAAGCTATGAAGAGACAGAAAAGTTTGAAAGCAAACCGAAGTCAGATAATGTAATGAAAGTGGACATGACAACAATAAACTGCTACAACTGTGGACAGCGGGGGCACATGGCGAGAGACTGCCACCAAAAGACCGCGCCAAAATGGTGCAGCTACCACAGAAGTACAACCCACAGTGACGAGACATGCAGAAGAAGATCGAAACGGAAAGATGATGCCAAGCAGACTTCAGACATGCAGGACAATCATGAGGAGGACCAGACCATGGTATTCAAAGTCAGCCAGAATCTTCCGTCTGACAACATCAGGCTTAATGGAATAATGGTGGACTGTGGAGCCACATCACACATTATCACTGATGAAGAGCTGTTCACAAGAATTGATAAGACTTTTGACCCAAGTAGACACTACATGGAACTGGCAGATGGAAAGAAGATGAACAATGTTGCACTGAAGCGTGGTGATGCACAGATTGAACTGTTGAACTCAAAGGGGAGGTATGTTAAAGTTGCTCTGAAAAATGCTTTATTCATCCCATCCTACCCACAGAGCATATTTTCTGTGATATCAGCTACAGCTAATGGAGCCAGTGTAAAATTCACAGATGGGCAGAATGAACTGCTGAGTAAAGATGGTACTGTGTTCCCTATTGAGGCACATGAGAAACTGTATTACCTCAGAATGAAAAGCAATAATGAAGGATGCATTGAGGAAAACTTAAATGACATGATGAGCAGAGATAAAGTGAAGCTAGCTTGTGATCTGAAAACATGGCATGAAATATTAGGACATTGTAACATGGCTGATGTTATGAAATTACAAAATGTGGTGGAGGGAATGAAAGTCACTGACAACAGTAAAATGGAGTGTAACATCTGTACAGTAGGGAAATTTATCAACAGCAGAAACAAAGAGTCAGATGTTAAAACGAGCAAGCCACTAGAGTTGGTTCATACTGATCTATCAGGACCCATTGACCCTACAGGCTTAGAAGGACACAGATATGCGATTTCCTTTACTGATGACTTCTCAGGATCTATTGCAGTCTATTTTCTGAAAAACAAAAGTGATGTGACTAAGGCAACAAAGCAGTTTCTGGCAGACTGTGCACCCTATGGTAATGTTAAATGTCTTAGGTCAGACAATGGTACCGAGTACACATGTAATGATTTTCAAACACTACTCAGAGATAAAGGCATTAGACATGAAACGTCGTCACCATATTCACCACACCAAAACGGAAAAGCAGAGAGACAGTGGAGAACGCTCTTTGAAATGGGAAGGTGTATGTTATCAGAAAAGGGCTTACCTAAAGAACTGTGGCCATATGCTATTCAGTGTGCTGCCCACATTCGCAACAGATGTTATAGTAACAGAACCAAAAACACCCCATATTTCTTGATGACAGGAAGAAAGCCCAATCTTTCAAACATGTGGGTATTTGGATCAGAGTGTTACTCATACAACAACCACCACAAGAAATTAGACTCAAGAGGGGAAAAGGGACTGTTTTTAGGGTACAGCAAGAACAGCCCAGCTTATTTGGTGTACCACCCACAGGCGAGAAAAGTTTCCAGACACAGACTAGTAAGGTTCATCAAAGAAAGTGGTGTTGACCAACAGATACAGACAGATATTTGGGATGAAGGGATCCAAGATCATAGATACCCGATGCAGGCATACAGACATGATGTAACACCCTTAACCCAGGATGTTACCCAAAATGTCACCCCAAGTGACAAAGAGGAACTCACTCTTCAAGGAACTCAAAATGCAGAATTTCCAGATGATCTCACTGGCAGTGAAATTGATGATGATCAAACTCAAACAAAGCAAAGAGATCGTTATCCAAAAAGAGAGAAAAGACCCCCAAAATACCTTGAAGATTACCAATTAGATCCTAAGACTAAAGATGCAACACAAATAACTGTTGATCATTGTTACAGGGCTGTGCTTGGTATCCCTCAAACATTCAGTGAAGCTCAGAAGTCACCACAGGCAGACAGATGGAGACAGGCAATGAGAGACGAAATTGACTCTCTTAAAGAAAACGAAGCATTTGAACTGAGCGTTCTACCAGAGGGTAGGAACACAGTTGGAGGGAAGTGGGTATATACACTCAAAGAAAAGGAAGGGAAAGAGATTTTCAAAGCTAGGTATGTAGCAAAAGGCTACAGCCAAACAGAAGGTATAGACTATCATGAAACCTTTGCTCCAACAGCTAACATAACATCAGTGCGAGCATTAATGCAGATAGCAGTTCAGAACAACCTTAAAGTACATCAGATGGATGTCAAAACAGCTTATTTGCATGCCCCAATTGACGAAGAAATTTACTTGGAACAGCCCGAGGGGTTTGAAAAACAAACAAAAACAGGACAGAAATGTGTGTATAAATTAAAGAAATCTCTGTATGGATTAAAACAATCTGGAAGAAACTGGTACAAACTCCTGAATGATCATCTTGAACAAAACAACTTTGAAAGGAACCTAGTTGATCATTGTGTGTATAGAAAACAAACAGAAAATGACACGGTTATTGTGCTCATTTGGGTGGATGACTTGATCATTGCTGCCAACAGCATTGATGTTTTGGACAGTTTCAAAGAAACAATGAAATCAAAGTTCAACATGAAGGACTTAGGCAAAATATCGCATTTTTTAGGCATACATTTTGAACAAAAAGAAGATGAAATAAAAATGAGCCAAAAGAAGTACATCCTAAAAATGTTGGAAAAATATGGAATGTTGGACTGCAAACCAAGATCCACCCCATGCGAACTAAAACTTGATCACAAAGAAAATCGTGAGTGCGATGAAACAAAAATAATGAATCCTACAGACTATCGTGAGATAGTAGGTAGTCTGATTTATGCCATGACCTGCACCAGACCAGACATCAGTTGGATAGTGAGCAAACTTTCCCAGACTTTAGCTAAACCTATGACAGAGGATTTAGTGAATGCTAAACATGTTTTGAGATATCTGAAAGGTACTTGTGAGTATGAACTTAGTTTCAAGAAAAGCAATGAAGACTTGAACCTCATAGCCTACAGTGACTCTGACTGGGCATCCTCAGTAGAGGACAGACGCAGCACCACAGGTTATTGTTTTAGTTTAACGTCACAAGGTCCAGTCATTTCCTGGAAATCCAAGAAACAACCAACTGTGGCTCTTTCCACTTGTGAGGCTGAATACATTGGGTTAACAGCTGCTACACAAGAAAGTCTACATTTAAGTCAACTCTTAAATGGTATGGATAGCAAAAAGTACAGCTGTACAACGCTTCATGGTGATAACCAAGGGGCCATTGCATTGTGTAAGAACCCTGTGAACAGACAGAGATCCAAACACATTGATGTGAAGTATCATTTTATACGTGATGCATTGAGAGAAGGGAAAATAAATGTGGTGTACTGCCCATCTGAAAATATGGTTGCTGATATCTTAACCAAACCCGCACCAAAAGCAAAATTCCTGAAATTCAAAGGATGGTTTTTTGGACATTAAGTATTTGAAGGTAAAGAAGATGAGAACAAGGGAGGGTGTTAGAATATGTTCTCATCTTAACTTGTCTTTGAGTTATTTTATGTTATGTGTTCATGCATTCTAATTTACATTGAAAGGTATAGTTGTAAGTTCTGCATCCTGTCACTTTCTGTTTATGTGCATGTTGTACTGCTGTTGTCCACTGGGGGCAGTGAGACCAAGTTCGTGTGTAGGCTGCATTGTTCTAATAAAATAGAAGAAGTGAAGACTGATAACTGGAACATTAGCAATAAAGTGAACACAGTTATCCAACAAAAGAAGTGTGGTTTATTGTCAAACATGAGTACTGAACAAGAAAACGCAACAGAAGACATGAGACAATGGGAAGATAATTAGATATCCACAAGGACCAGATTAATCCAAAGGAGATATTAAATAGAGGTTCATTTATCTTTTTGACTTTATTCCTAATGTATTTTTTAGTAGACAAGTGGAGTGGCTGAAATAATGGTGTTCAATTTAGAAAATAGTGACAATGTACATAGCTGTCAAGTGCACACAAATAAACTATGAATAAAGTTTAAATCATTTTGGAGGAAAACTTCTAAATTCTCATCCCCTCCACAAAAACTCACTGATTCTCCAAATCATTCTGACTGCTCTTTACTGTAGGTAAGATACTTACTAACCATGACTACAACCTTCACCAAATGCAAACCATTAATTTAACCCTTCAAAGCCTGTACCATGAAAGAATTGAAAGATTTTTAATTTTTCTTTGTAAATTAGAATTTTCATAGAACTTTCTGTTAGATGAAATAAAAATAATACATTTTGAAGTTAAATTGCATCAATGTTGATAAGTTAGGATTTTTGTATAATCTTTGATAGGTTTTTTGTTTACTACGTGTGTGATTGTGTAAGTCAGGGTTTTCAAGAACAAAAACATCACACCGATGATGCAAAAACACATTCATGAAAGATGATACACTTAGCTTTAAAGGGTTAAATTATATAAATTAAAGGTTATTTCAAAACAATCAGTTAAAAAAAATATCTGGTCCATCATGAGAACTAAGTAGAGAAAAGTCGTGCATAGGTTGTGCTTTGTGTTGGTGAAAGTTCTCAGTCATCCAGGTCGCAGTCATTTAAAAAAAATAATAAAAAATGTAAAATTAAAAACAATCTTGGAAACGTCCAGTGGATTGTTCCTTCCCATCAAGGAAGTTTTTTCAATTCAAAATGTCAGGAATAGTGTTGAGTTCGACGTTTTATACAGTAGCTCATTAAAGCCCTTTTTTGTTTTGAAAACATGCGTATTGGAACAGGAGAAGGTGGCCACCCATTTGGAATAGGTCGTTTGGCTTCTTTTGTTAGACTGCAATACCCCATACCCATCTGTCTGAAAGGTCGGTCGTTAAAGGAGATTGTCGGACTGGCTGAATAGATGAGGTCAATTTTTTTTCTGTTAAGAACCAAACTAAAGTTTATTCACATGTCCATGAGGAGCAACTGGTTTACACTAAGTTAAAATTAGACTCAAAATGGATCAAACTGATATTTATGAAGGAATTTATGGGATTAGGGTGGTGCTAAGATCCATAGATGAATTTAGATTAATAAAGAGTACCTTTACCATCTCAAATTCGGTTTCATTTGTTTTGTTTTCATATGAAAACTTATTATATGTTTTATTGGTTTTTGGTATGCGGTAAGTAAATAATCTAACTGTATTTACTCATTTATTATGGCTTAATTTCTACTTGACCAAGAAAATATATAAAGATTCACATGTTGAAAACAGACTGACTTCAGACTTAGGGAAATATCAGCGCTTTAACATATATAAACTGATGCAACTGCAGAGGAAAGCCTTAAACACTTACCATTCGTTTACTTTCTCCTGCAAATGTTTCATGCACATACAGAGCTCCAACAGCGTTCTCCATACTGCTCTGAACATAGCGGACGCATTCCCTCCACCAAGCGTCCTCCACAGTGGTCCCATATAAAGCCTGAGTAAACATGCACATAGTTAGCTTGTGTTGGAGCAAGCTTTTCTGAACCTGCAGCATGAAAGTCTATTGTTTCAACCTTTCTGTAGCGAGCCCTGGCATCTTTGAAGCGGCGGCTCAAGCTATTAACTCTGTCTGTGATGAGCTGCCAGGTAAGATAGTTTTGCATAGTTCTGCAACATCAAGAAAAGGTTTAATTTGAATTGTTCTGATGTAATTTTTTTTTTCCATATTTATGTCTCTTCAGGAAATGTGAGTGCACTAACCTAATACTGTGTCTGGAGAGGACATCATTCATCTTTTCCAGGTAGGGAGAGCTGTACACAACAACCTCCTCATCAAGCTTGATATCGATGGACACAGTCGACAGGACGCCTTTTATAAACCGTGTCCAGTTAAAACCCTAAAAAAAGATAATCAATTTGAATTTTTGTTGCTCTCATATTCTAAAAATACATGTTCAAAGTTACCAGTTACTCCAATCTATTAACGGATAACTTTATCTCTAGCTTTAGCCTCACAATAAGATATTTTCAATCTTTAAAGACAATCACTAGATATTTAGTTCCCAAGACCACCTGTTTTAAATGTCACTACACTTTAAAAGCCAAAGGAAAGTAAATATATTCAGAGTATTATGGAGTTTGTTCTTATTTTCATTTTGCCTGTAAAGCCCCAGTCACAACTTGACGATTTAGTACAGCGTATGCCTGATGTACGAAGAATCTGGCAAAAACAGCGGCATACTTTGGATAAGTTTTGGGTATGTTTTGCATAAGTTATGAGTACATTGAAGCACGCTGAAATCCCCTGGAACACATCGAGATACAGCAAGTACGTTGAGTACGTCCCGACATATGCCAGGGTATGCTCATACCTGGGGCATAAGTTACAGGTAAGTTATCTGATCGTTGACATACGTTAAGTGTCAGTTACTCATAAGTCGTGGCGTCTAGCTTGTCCAAAACCTATGAGTAACTTGTGCATAACTTATGTGTAACTTATCAAGAACTTATCTCCAACTTCTTCTAACTTACAGCTACTATATAAAGGCGTATTGGCAGCATTTTGGTATTAAAGGGGGGTCAAAGGAAGAAACCGTCAGTACTTCTCCAGACTTCATCCCCATCATAGGGTGAGCGAGAAGGTGAGCGTGATGGATCGTCCCTGCATTCATGCCCACCACCAACAAACTTCCTAGCCGACATGATGCTGAATCTGCTGCGACTGAAAACCTTTTTTCTTTCTTTTTCTTTTTTCCTTTCATTTTATTTTATTTTTTTTGGGGGGGCGACAGTAAACAGGAGCTAGGTTGATCCTGCAATCAAACACATCTTTTTATGCAGGCCGGTTGCATCGTTGCACCTGAGGGGAGCAGCTTTAACTAATGCTGCTGTGCGTTCTGCATACGTTAGGCTGTTGTTGTACATAAGTTCTGGACTTGTGAATTCACTATGTATATGTCCAAAATTGAAGAAAAAAATACTTTGAAATTTCAGCTTATGCCAGTTTTTTAGGAGATTCTGGGATGTCGGGCATACACGGCCTAAATTAGCAAGGTGCGACAGGGCCCTACCTAAAATCTGCTTAGATTGGATGTTTTTCCATTAATCAGATAACATAGGAAACTATGAAAAGATCAAGTACCAAAATTATGCTACATATGTATTTATTCATTTGAGAATATTTTTGCAAGACAAATTCAAAATGACACCTTAAACCATTTTTTTCTATATTTGGGAGGTACACCAATACTGCTTGTTGCAAAACACACCAAAACATGATGGCTTACATCTCTGGGATTGACAGGGCAGAGAGGTGTTCTCAGGCCTGCAAGTCAATGAAGGCCTTTGGCCCTGAGAACTGTGGGCTGGCTCTTTATGTTGCTTTTGTAACAATGGCTTCTTCCACTCTAAGTGATCTATCAGCTCATGTCGGTACAAAGCTCTTCTATAAGCTTCCGACAGCATCTTCACAAGGTATTTTACTTAAAGAATGAACCAGTCTTTTGGGGGTCCACATTCCTTTTCCTTATATTATCCCACATTTCCCTGATCACATAAAAGCATTGTTCATAGACTCTGATCTATAATGCCCCTATATAGACAATATTTTACAGTAGTCTTAATTAAACTGAAACAGAGATGTTGAATGTTTGATTTGATGTAATGCAGAAAGAAAAAAAAAATCCCTGCCTTTTTTAGAGGGTATGGACATTTGTGGTAACAATGGAGGGTTGGAAGGACAACAGAGAAAAAGGCCTTGCAGCATACCACAGCAGAGCAAAGATAAATCTGACTTACGTTAAAGCTATAAGTGCTCTGCAGTTCCCCAAGGGTCATCTTGTTGTACAGAACAGTGACATCCTGCCGTTCCTCCGCTGGTGATGTAGCCTGTCCAGGAGCAGGAGGAAAAGGAAAACTGAAACAAATCTTTGAGTTCTCACATTTTGGTTCCTTCTGCCTCTCTGCTTTTTCATGTTAATGTTTCACTGCAAAAAATATTACTAAGCCATTTTAAAACAGATTTTAGGACAGCTTTTACCTCCTCTAGGTTACAATTCCCCTTTCTTTAAAAGGAAAGCATTACAACAAATTGGAAGTTTTTTGCTTTGCTTTAAATATGATGGGTTTCATCATTCTTTGCTGAGAAAAGCATCATTTACAGCAATAAACCAGTTCATTCAGTTGTAAAACTATACAAAACAAAGTATTTTAAATGTATTTCTTTACAACTTTACCCAGTGTTCCAACGGCTCTTATGCAGACGCTAGGTTCCACTAAGATGTTTTTTAAACAGTCTCTACTGATCTGTAGTTTCTATTTGGAGCCTCATCATATGGGTTAACCATTCCTCTCTCCTGTTTATGGTTCCATCACAGTTCAGATTGTTGTGGTCTTGGTGTATCCCCAAGATTTTCAAAACCCTATGCCAAAGTAACAACTATGGTACAACAACCACATTGTGAGAAACACAAAGTTTTTCTCAAGCCCTATTTAAGTTTATCCTTTATTTTCTTGAATTCAATAGACGTTGTTCCTCTCTAAGGTGCTTTCATGAATCACGATCCACACTCACATTAGCGATGTCAGTCTCCAGCTCCAGTACTTGCATCATTTCCTCCCAGACCCTGTCGTCATCCTGAGTCATGTTTTTATCTTCTCGGGTTATTTTTGCAATAGACACCATGAAATGCAGATAGGCCTCTCGCACCTATGACACAAACATAGAAATTATTAGTTTGTTTAAACACAAAAAAACACTATTGTTTATTTTAGGTATTTTTTGACAGATACTGGCAAAAAGTGACCTTTTTGTAGTTCCCATCATTGAAATAATAGTCTCTAGATGGCATTCCAAGTCCTGGCTGGTCGATCTAAAGAAGAAGTAAGAAATATATAATCTATTAGGCATTTTAATTGCTATTTACCTGACAAAAAATGAAAGAAACTTTAAGAATTCAGTCTGACTTTCTGTTCTTAGGATATTCTTTTGATTTGTACTGCTTAGATAATAAAAAAACAGAGCTAGTAAATGAAAATAAAAAAAAATATATATTTTATTTTCTAATGTATCATTTTTCAGTGTTAAGAATCAATCATGGAATAGAACTGAGTGCAGGTTTTAGGTACTTAAATACTTCAATGGAAGTGCATCACAAACAAAAAAATCCAAAATGCATAAAAGTGTAAGTCTCTTTTTTCTTTATTGAATTCTTTCACCTCACACTTGAATGTTTTATTGAAGGAAGCTGCTCAGTTTTCTTGAAGAAAGTCATAGCATGCCAAAAGACACCATGAAGCAGCTGGTGGCTGTGGTTTAGGCTTTTACATAGATATAACATTTTGACAGGTCTATTTCTTACAGGTAAAGCACCTTCCTGATCACAACTATGCACATTTTCTGTATTAATCTACATAGGTTTATATGTCTTAACTTCTATACGGGCAGGCCATATGTTGATGTATGTTCCTTTTTAGGTTTGGGGCATATAACAATATATGTTCCTTTTAGAATGTTTGCAGTAAGATGTTTTTAAACCTAGAAATCAATTTAGTTTATGAGAAGCCAAAGAAATTAGGGAAACTTTTCTAAGGTTTTTTGTACCTCCAGTAGGGATAACTAGAAAGCTAAAGCCTTTTTTTTTTTTTTTTTTTTTTTTTTTTTTACAGTTCTTCACTTACTGTATTTAAATGTTAAACCATGTCTTCTTTGAATCTAATTTCAAATTCAGACAGCTTATCTTTAATTGATGTGTTTTATGCTGTTTTACTGAAAACACGGTAAAAGAAAACCTATGTCGAGGTTCTAATAAAAATTGAGCATTGAGATTCTTTAACTGGCTGCAGACAGAGTTACATCAGTGACATCAGTAAAACAGCAGAAATCCTTTAGCATGTCTGCCTTCATGAACATGCAGAACATACATTGATCATCAGAATGTTCACATCACTCGGAGGAGGATATGCAACTGTAAAAAAAGTACCACCCACAATGCGATTTATTAAACCTGAAACCAGTACCATGTGCATTTTCTGAATCTAATTGAAATAGCACACAAAAATTACTGTGGTCAAACAGGAGAAGAAGGTATTGTTTTAGAAGAGATGGGTTAATCACGAGCTTGCCAAAAACAAATAATAAAGCAGATACATATTGTCTATTACCGTAACCAATTTTATTTTTGGGAAAATCATTGTGCAACACTGCAGAGTTGAAATTTTTCTGGTGTGCCGTTCAGAGCCACTGCATTAACTCTAGAGGATTAAAACAATGGCTTTGACTGGTTAAGACAGCTGGAATTATATAAATGCCAGAAGGTAATTGGCTCTATTATTCCCTCCAAGTCACCTGACTATTTAATTTTCATTTAATCGTCTTAACAAAGTTTTGTCATTAAAGTGAGCAGTGCTGTTGTGAGTTTTCTGCCTTTGGGACATACAAAAACAAGAAAATAAACTCTTCTGCTCTCAAAAAGTGTCCCTGGTGGCAGCCTCTTAATTTACTTCACCTGTCTAGCTGCGTCCGGTTTCTCATTACAATTCTGTGAAACCTGCTTTAGTCTCTATTTAGACTGCTTGCTCCCAGTCATCAGTGCCAGATTATTCAAGCCTTTGGTGAGAGTTCTATAGCGTACCTGATTGTGTTCTGATTCCTTGATTGTGACCCGTTCTGCCTCTGGACCTCTGGGCCTACCTGTTCCTGTTCCGATCTGTTTGCCTGACCTGTCTTTAGACACCTGCTGGATTCTGCCTGTTGAATGAACCTGGATCTTCTTCCTGACACCGACCTGGATTTCCCTCTTTACCTCTACGGGTCTCTGATTTTAGCTTGGACTCCTGTGAACCTCTTTTACACCTGCTTTGGCTTCACCTCCTGGATAGTACTACCTTCCTTCCTCTGCTTAGATCAAATGTCATGTCAGTTCTGCTGTCTTCAAGGCTTCAGCATCTGGGGCTCTCTGGGCAGCGTTTGCCAAGTGGTGCTGGGAGCCATTCGGCTGGAATCCACCTCGTCCTCTGAGCATGGACTGAACTTTAAGACTAGATTAGTGACTCCATCAGATTAACGTGGTTACTAACCTGCATTTCTCTTCTGCAGAGGTTCCTGCCTTTGACGTCCTTGCAGTTACTGCAGATCCACCGTTTTTTAATAAACGCAGTCCTCTGTTCTGAGCATTTACAATCTGGGATCTTAGTAGATCAAGGGCTACACTGTACATGTCGTTTAAGCCAGAATGATCACTGACAACATTTTAGACTTTATATTCATGGAATTTTAGGTATACTTTGGCTGTTATGATACACCTGGTATAACATTTGGTCAAGCTTTGTTTATTAAGTTATATTTTATTTCACAAGCCCGCTTTCAATTAGGGGGACTTTTAGCCATTACCCACAATTGTGAAGGTTTAGGCAAAACTTTACCTGAACAATTAAAATTTCCAGGGGACACCCTTTACATGGTCTTAGTCTGGAATATGGCTTTCAGATTACGATGGGATTGTTGAGGTGCTTCACAAGTGGCCTTTGCTTTAGTTGGAAAATCAGAACTTTTGCTGCTCAACTCGCCGCAACAATCAATCAGAGAGAGGCAGCACTATGTGTTGGTGTCCTAGTAGGATATGCAGGCACAGATGCAGGTCAACAAACCACCAAAGTGGGGTCAGGTGAGACAAAATAGCTCTGTGACAGACTCTTATCAGCTCATAGCTCTTGGAGTAGGTGGTTAAACTCTCCACAAAGTGAATGGCTCTGAGGTATCTGGTGAATCCAGACACGATGCCCAGACTTTTGACGATGCCATTCTGCAGCTGTAGGTAGTAAAAAAAGCCAGGCCACTCTTTCAGTTTCATCCGACATTGCACAAGATACCAGTAAAGAGAGCATCAAATATACGGTCGACTTACATCTGAACTTAATGTGGACAAGCATAAAAGAAGAAGCAGCAGACGCTTGTTTGCGACTTAAAGCACATTCAGTGTGAATGTAGCATTACTTCAAAAGTTCTTGAATGTTTTTGGAGATGATCATTGTTTATATTGTCACACCCAGCTCACCTCTCCAGCTGACAGGGCACAGAGACAAAAAAAACCCCCACTAGCTTTCACTAAGAAGTGGAACTAAAACAGATCAAATTTATTTAGGTTGGTGTCTAAGGGTTGGTGGTGTTTTTTGCTTTCAGCTTTACAGCTAATTGCTTTACGCTGTCGCAGTTGCTAGATGGCAGAGGTAATGCTGAGGGAAGGATAGGAATGGCTGGTTATGCCTTTGGTTTCTCATTACTGTCACCCACTGGAGTGGAGATGTAGTGTAGTTTTTTCCCAAAACATCCCTGGTTATCATTAGGCTGATTCAAATCCATATTTCACAGCGTATCAGAGCAGTGTAAACACAAAGGACATCTGAATAAAGTAATTTTCTATTTAAATTTATTTTACATCGTATGAATTCATAGTTATAAAAACAAAGAGGGGAGAAAAAAAGCGTTAATAATTGGTATGTGTTGTTCACGCTTGAATAAATGTCTTACATAAATTATGTGGCGTTGAGAGTCTCTGTCATCCGTCCACACATATAGATCCAGAACCACCTTCTTGTGGAAGCGAGCTGTAAGCATGGCTAGAGTGTCCTCAAGACTCCAGGCTTCCTCTGAAACAATGACAGAAATAAAAAGTTTCAACCCACTTGGCCAGCTTTGATTATCATAGGTACTGTAGAAATCTAGGTAGCTTCCTGTGTAAATCCCTGTGTGCAGATGCAGCTATGCGTAGCTAATTCTATTTGAGCCGCCATCCATGATTACATTTAATTAAAGTGGCAAGAGCCTGGAGCATGAGGAAGAGAAGCACAGCCTATTTAAAGCCTGCTTCAGAGTCCTGATTGAGGACTTGCTCCTCTACCCACGCACCACCCTCCAGAAGCCCACACCTGACTGCTTGGCAGAAAAACATCATCCTTGACGGGCCTCTTGATCCCACCAACAAAAGCCTGTACTCAGCAATCCTCTGAGCACAAAAATAGAAAACGGAGCTCTGAGTAAATGCATGTATTTGGCATGATGTGATGTGCTGCACAGGTGCCAGTTTGTGTAGGAGACGCTAATCAGAGTGTGTTTGGGAAAAATGTTTCTACCTGTTGTGGTGTTCCAGTCCTCTGACGCCACAGGCCAGTCTCCAATACTGTTGATAAGTTTCAGGAGGGGCTGTGAATCCCGCTGCTCTATTAGGCCTGCAGATCCAAAATTGTCCAGTCAAACGTTTAAGATCTCAGAGGAAAAACACATTTGTTATCATTATACAAAGATGCCAGTTCCGTCAGCTCCGACAGTCCTGTACCAGACACAGTAATTATTGACATGTGGTGTGCAGTCTTTGCATTTGTTTAACATCGGCTAAAAATACCTCCAATACTGAAACTGATATGAATTGTTTAACCATAGGCCCATCTTTACTTGTTTGCGTTGTGTGGTAATTTTAAATCTATCAAATGAACTTTAGTATTCTACAAAGACAATCTGAATAAATTGTGCCTTGTGGCGTTTTCAAATAAGGATTTCATCTATTATGGCGAAAAAGGTATTCAAGCAAACCTTGTAAAAAAGCTATAGCTGTCGACCTTTCTTTTTGTTTAAAAAGCCACACCTTGGCCAAATCCATTCCAGACCCACAGAATCAAGATATAACCCAAACAGAACCTGTCTGACAACATGAGGTAGGCTGAAAGATCTGAAATAGCACATAGCCCCAAGAAATTCAGAGAAAGTCAAGAACAGATGAGAAACAATTTCAAAGATATCTGTCAGTTTGAAAGGGTTTCAAAATTCAGGGGATTTCAGAAATATTTTGCTCTCTAGTAGAACATTCTGAATGAAAACATCCAGCAGTATCAAGATCATAGCTTAACCACACTTTGGTTAGGTGACAAACCAATGAACTAAAGTAAACCTGCAAGTTTATCACTGAAAGACAAAAAATAAATTCTTTTTGGAGATGCTTGGTCAAAGTCCTTGGCCTTAGCGTTAGTCGTGTAATATGCTGTGAAGTGACCTAATACAGGCTGCTCATGCTCTAAAGCCTGTTACGTGAGGCCAAAACAAAACACTTCTGCCAAGAAAAGTGGTCTAACTGGATATAGAAGAACTATTGCCACTCATTATAAACACGAGTTTGAATCCATTCTCACAGATGGTGGAATAACCAAGAAAGAATTAAAGACCAATTATATTTTCAGATATGGCCCAATTGGGTTGAATTACCCTTTTTTTTCCTTAAAACTGCATTGTGTGTTTACAAAGGTTCTATTTGCTGAATTAAAATTTTATTTGGTGATTTGAAACATTTAAGTAAGGGAGAAATTTTTTTTTTCACAAACGTGTATGTTTTTTTTTTCTTTTAACAATTAAATATATATTGAACTATATATATATTTGATTTTTGTCAAAGCTCAAATCAAAGCAGAAAACCTTTCTGAGTAATACTTAAATAGCACCAAAGATTGAAAAACTTTTAAAGAGAATCCTACTCTCATTCATGCAGGAGCTATAGAGGGTTTTAGCCTTCTTGATGGCATCTCTGTCCCGCTCATTCTCTGTCTCAAGAACACCTGCAAAAACAAAACAAATAACAACACTTCCTGCGTGATCGAAGCACTCCGAATACTGCAGCCCACTGAGCACAAAAGGTTAAGCCTTGCTGACCTTTGAGGACAATCTCCAGTTTGTCCCTCAGAATGTCAAAGACGCTGTGGCGGGAGCTCGTCTCTGGGATGACATGTCGCTCCAGCCAGCCTCCACATGCGTACTGGTAGAAATTATCACAAGGCTTCACAGATTGATCAATGTTCTGCAAGAGGCGAGCAGCTGCATGGGGAGAAAAGGAACAGGGGGGAAGTCAAGAAAGTCAAGATTTATGATCTCGTTTTCACAAGGGGTCAGAGTGGATTTTATCTAGAAACTAATATGGAGATCAGGAGGGAAAAGGGGGCTCATCTCACCTGCAGTGACGCAGTCTGCAGTAGTGCACACATTGTTGAGATTGGAGCGAAACATCTGGTCTATAGCAAACAGTGTCAACAGTTATGAAAGAGTGACCACATTACACCCCAGCTGAGACAGAAGACGTGATTGTGCAACAGCCCAACACTTTAGCAAAGCCTATGAAAGGGTATTTGTTCCATGTTTAATTTGCAAGATTGGACTCACCTTCACCTGTTGAGCTCCTGGGAACACTTGGCCTGTTTGATTGTTCTGGAGAGGGTTCAAAGCAAAATAAGGTAATGCTTGGGTAAATTTTCCGGTTTTCAGTGATTAAAGATCATGTTTCTATATAAAAATAAAATCCAGGTATTCAATAATTTTTAGTGAACCCTAAGTGCTAAATACATTAGTTTAGAGTCTAGTTTTGAGCTTGTTTGAGATTAGCACTTACATTTGCATGAAAAAACGATGTAAACAGGTTGAATAAATATAATTTGGTGGCATGATTACACTCATAAACCTTCTTAGCTCTGTAGAACGCTGTTGCTTCTCTCCATCTGAATCATCTAGACACTTCTGAGGTTCCTTTACCTTTAACAGCTGATGTGTAGAGGACGACCAACCCCGCCAAGGCACAGCTCACAAGCAGCAGCAGAACAGAAAGACTGATTTCTGCAACAGTCCAACGGCGCTTCACAGCTTTACTTGATTTCTCCATGATATCCATTTGGCTTTCGGATTTGCCCATATTCCTCCAAACTCTCGGCTCTGGGGGGAGAGACACAGTGAAAGTGTGGGATGGCCCATGCACAGAACCACCACTATAAGTGTGTTTGCATTTGTCTGTGTGTGTGTGTGTGTGTGTGTGTGTGTGTGTGTGTGTGTGTGTGTGTGTGTGTGTGTGTGTGTGTGTGTGTGTGTGTGTGTGTGTGTGTGTGTGTGCATGTGTGTAGGCAGGGATCCATTGGTAAACTGTGCCAGCTGACCTGCAGGGAGTGAGCTTCAACTGCACACAACTGAACACCTACAACAACTTCAAAAGTTCATCCTGTTGCACAAACACAAACTGATTCTCTTTTCTGGAGATATCCAGAATATTTCTACCTCAATCATTACTCGTTCCTGTTTTTAAGCTTTAAGTTTTACTGTTGTGCCTGCATAAGTTTCTACTCTCTTAATTTCTGCCAAATAAACTCCATAAAAGTGTCAATAATAATCAAATCAGAACTATAAAAAAGTCGAGAGAAAACTGATTTTTAGCCATAAATCATGAAAGTAAAGATCCACACCTGTAATCCACCTGGGGAATTCCTCACACAGCTTGAACAACCAAGGGATAGAAGGTCAAAAGGTGTTGGCCAAAAGATTGCGATGATATACTATACACAGCAAACATAGCAACAGCAATCCAGGAGAGAGGCAACAGTTTGTGATCCTCCACCAAGGGGTACATTCTGCTATGCGCAATATGGCCCTCCACCAAGGGAGCCACTGTTTAAGAAGTGCCATGTTTACTTAGAATAAAAAAATAAAAAAAGCTTTTCAGTCATTTGCATCCAAATGTTTTCTATCACAGCTAAGGGTATTGTATGCTATAGTTATGGTTAATATTGTATGGAATCATGTCCCTCCAGTGACCCTGAATGAGGGTTAAGTTGGTACTTGATTCCCTTATTCTTCTGTGTTAAACCAAAAATTTTGTTTTACTGTTTTGTGATGTTTATTGAAATTTGTTTAGGAAACGCTATGCCCTTTTGTTTAAAGGTTGAAAAAACATGTTTCCCCAAACAGGAGAAGAAATTAGCCTTTTTTTTATACATTTTGTCCTTATAAAAAATTGTGACTGAGATGTAATAATAATAAATTATTGAATTCTTGACTGAAATATTTTATAAATGATTGCAAAACATCTTTAAAATCTCTTACTGTTCCATTTTGGTAAGCCTAACTTAATAATGATCCATGTACCTTTTTTTCAAAGAATTTAGTTCACATGCTAAAAGTGTGTGCTAACCTTTCTGATCTCAAATTATATGATGATCTGAATAGGGGGGCTTCTAAAACTATGGATGTTGCATTCTGCAGAGTAGTCCCATAAACATGGTGGAAAGGTTTTGTGTCCTCTGTGATCCTGAAGGCTGTGTTGCCATCAACCCTGGATAGGCTCTGCTATAGCATCAAGGTAAGATCAGACCAATGTGTGTTGTGATTGTTTGTGTCCATTTAGCTGCTCCCATATCCAGGGGTCATGACAGTGAGTCAGTAAGAATTGGTACCAGACATGGCAAAGTTTCTACGCTACTTGCCCTTTGTGTTGTTAGGATTAAGATAACTTTGCACTGCAAGCTGGATTGTCACGAGATCTACAATAAATCCATCGTTAAAGACTCCCGCTAATACGTTTGTCTTGTAACAACCAGGGCGTCAGACCAATTGCGTGCCAGCCGGGTTATCTGGGGTAGGACATGTAGGAATAACAACAGTCAGAAGTGCCTTGCAGGGTCATTACAGACATGGCTACACTGGAGGCCTCACCTGTCGACACAGTTTTAGTTAAAATAGCAACAATTTCTTGTTAAAAAAAAAAGGAGCAAATAAAAGCACTTTGTTCAATTATTGATGGGAAAGATGTCTGTTCTTTTCTACTGACAGGATTTGGAAAAAGTTAGAATTATCAGCTTACTCCGCTAGCAGTGAAAACCCTCAAGAAGCTGCAGAGAAATCCTACTGTGATCTCCGATTGGCTGAAAGCGTATTATGAAAGGCAGATACTAGCTGGCATGTCAGCTCAAAGTATTGTACTAATGTCCCTCCTTTTCACGGACAGACTGAACGGCAGCCATCACAGATTGATAAGGTAGAACTTAACTCAGTTCTATACATACCAATATGGCTACTGCCAGGTTAGGATTTAGAACCGCATCACCGACATTGGTCTCTTAATTGTTCAAGGAACAGAAAATAAAAGTAAAGGAAACACCCTCTGGTCAAGCAAAGAATTGACTACAGGGTGGGATGGAAAATGAATAAAAATAATAAAAGACAAGCCATCACACCCAGAATGAATAAAAATGGTGCCAGACTTGGATCTCCCTGGTGAAAACACCTCCCTGGTGGTCATGCCTTTGCTCCTGGGACTCTATTTGCATGCATGATCTACATAGAAAGTTACACAGGTAAAGTGCAGTTTGAGCTTCTCCTGAGTTCTATTATACTTCTGAAAGTCTCTGTTGCAAATACTGGCAACAAATGTGCTGCCTGAGATAGATCTTAGCTGTGTATCATGATTGCACCAAATACATGAGTTCAAGCAATGTTTGTCCATATATGTGCTTGGTACCAAGTAACCTTGGGACAAAGTTTAAGGTAAAAGAGATGATTTTTGAAGTACTTAATTTCCCTATTGCATAACGTCCCAGAACAAGCAGGAAAAGAAGAATAGAGTTATGAATTAATCACCATCAGATTGGTTGATGCTATCCTATAGAACCTTGAGGGCCAAAAAAAAAGTGTGCAGAGTCTAAAGAAGAATTAGGCAGTATTCAGCAATTTCTAAGCAGATGCTCCTCAAGAGGTCGTTCAAATTTTACATGAGAGTAATGCTGCAATGAGCCAAGATATTTATCAACCAATCAACCATTCAACCTACCACCCAAACTTCACCTGGGCCCTCCACATGCAGGAAGACAAGTCAGGTTCAAAGTGTGAGTCAAGTGAGATTGGGGTAAGGTTCATGTATTTGGGCATGCTTTGGTGCATTTCTCAGTTAAAGTGTCTTTAGAGCTCCAGGATTAAATCTTTAAAACTTTAAGTGTTCTTAGTTATTGCTATCTGAGCAAGAGTTGATCTAAGAAATGTCTGGTTTTATTGTTTAATGTCATATGCAGCTATTCATGCATGAGCAAGTGTAAATATCTCAGAGCAATTTTTCCCCACTTTTCCCCTCAAACAGATGCATAAACAATTAAAATCATAATTCTGCTCCAAGCGAGCAAATTTTTATGCTGAATAATTACATGTGTGAAAGCACAATATTGCAAATGAGCATTTGTGCAGAGAACAAAACAACAATCACTAGTAGTTGAGTGTTTCTATTTATCTATTCACTACTCACCACCTGTTTCTTCCATAACCATCAGCGTTGCCCAATCGTTAGGTCTGCCAGTGGACAGTCTGTAAATCAGAGGTTCATACTGTTGCGCCCCATTAGTCCCTGCTGATGAATACTCACAGGCACAAAACTGGTGCCTGTTGAGGTTCTGCTGCAATCCCCAGACAGAATCGGTGTGCATGTGATCATTTCCAAATGCAAATACCAATATCTTCCTTATTCCATATATAATCTGCCTATAATCCCCCACTCCCCCCAAAATCCAGAGGCCTTACAACTGCAAACTTAGGAAATATTTATATATTTATTAATATTAAATATTTATTCCCCCAAATTACCCAAACAATAATATAGAGATTTCTAACAGCCGTGCTTGGTCTAAATAAAGTTAAGCACTTTTTTGTAGCTTGGCACTGTATTCCAGCACTACAGATTGACACTGCCCTAAAGTTTAGGAAACCTCTAATCAAAATACACCCATTGCTGTAGGTCAAACGTGTATCCAAACTAAAGAAAAAAGCCAAACAATATGGTCAGGATATTATCCTGAGAATTATTTCCAAACCAAGTCTATAAACTTCAGTTATTTCTATTGAGAGTAAGTGCAAAAGTACAAAGTGAGAAGGAAGTTACTTGTGGTTTTATAATCTTTACGCAAAGGAAAATCCAGAACTTTTGAAATATTACAACCAATTTGCTTTTTTTGTATCAGTAGATCCATCTGTGAGGAAATCAACCTTAGTATGCATCAACTCTATATGGCTCAAACCTTTGTAGGTCGACATCAAGAAGAAGGTAGTTGAAAATAAAACAGGATTAAGTTATAAAATAGTATCTCAAACTACGAACAACTTGATTCATTTTTTTTTAAATTGAATGAGGATTGGCATAATTGCAAATGACCAAGAAGAGCATTTCCCACCTCTGACAAAGAGACTTTGCTTATGATCTATAGGCAAGACTGAGATTAACCATCAGATGTTCTCCATCCAATACAACTGAGTTAATGTGTTTCTTGTGAAAAAGATTCACCATGTAAAAGCTCTTAAAGCCGTAATGAAAGTAAAGCGTCAATCTTCTCAGTACTTCAAACATCTTATTTAAAGAAAATTTAAATCCATGTATCTTTTTTCTTTCATTTCTCAGTTTTGCAAACTGTATGCATTTATATCACATATCTTCACCGAGAGCACATAGACATTTATTGCTGCACAGTAAAGTAATTAAATGTGTAAAGTCAAAGGGACATGATTTTTTTTAAGGCAATCTAAGTATTGTTCCTGTTAAATTAGTGTCAGAGAAATATTTTATATTTATATTTATATATTATATATATATATATATATTTTTTTTATAAATATTCTGAAAAAATGAGAATAATCTGACCATTTTATAGCAACCACAGTAATAAACAAAAATAATTTAAACATAGTATAAATGTTTTTATTAAAAAAGTCAAACATTTGAATTAGTAAACTTATTTATCAGCTACAAATATTTAATCCAGATAAAATAAATACCTAAAATAGATTTAAATGTTGGACTTTTCATTTGCTGATAAAGCCACACATTTTTTCTCATGCTGTGTTGTTTAGAACAGAAAAACCTGACTGTGTAACAATATATCAACACACAGTGTTTCAGCTGGGTGTATGTAACTAAGCCAGTTTAAGCTGAGTTTTAGGTGTTTATACGGTGAGAAAAACCCACCAAACACTGACAGGATTGTCGCATCATCGTTTCTGAGTCTGAGGGGGATTTTAGAGAGGAAGCATGATAGCGTTATCCACAAAGGGGCTGACATTTCCATTCTGTCCACCTTTGTTTGACCAGATAAAAGACTTGTTGGGTGTCTCCTCAGGAGAGACGGGTGGATGGAACAAAATGTTAAAACACAAAAATACCACAACTGATGATCCAGACTAAAGTGTATTTACGAGTCACAACCAAACAAACAAGATTTTTCATAACTTTTAAATGCAACTCAAGTGTTTATTTATCGGATAAGCAATTTATCACACTTATACCTAGCTTCAGAATCCAGAAATGTGTTGATAAACAAAACATATAAAGTAACAGTTCTTTCTCAGGAGGTAAAACTCTTAAAATGATTTTGTGCAAAAAGTAAAAGACTTTATTATTATTATTTTTTTTTTTACATCCATAGGAGGAATGTATGACAACAAGGTGTCAGAGTGCAAATCTAACAGGTCTGAGATTTAAGCAATGAGATCAGTTAGCTGAGAATGAGATTAATCTGTGCTAAATGTTTTACAGTGTTCAGTGCTTGGTATTGTTTCCCAAAAAAAAACAAACAAACAAAAAAAAAAAAAAACAACAACACAGGATTAACTCACTGGTCAGGCTGTGCTTGCAAACTACAAACTCCTGTTCACAGGTTACAAGCTCTTCCAAACATGGAGCACTGACATGTCTATTTTCCACTTTGATAAAGAAAAAAATGTCAACAGCCTAAAATAGAAAAGCAATGAAAGTTTTTTTCTATCTCCTTTTGGGCTGCTGAGATTCTGGCATGAGTTGATCCCTAAAAGCAGCAACTTACATTGCTCTTACTTTGGAACCTGGCTGCAAACAGGTATTTATGTAGCTAGAGGCTTACCTTTGTAGTTTGGTTGGAAGAAGTCCCTGAGCCGTCTCCCCCCACAGCGCGCTAATATCTCAAACACCCCTGCTGAGCATCCACTCAGAGCTGGTGTGTGGAGAAATGAGTCTATGCTGCCAGCTGAAGGAGACCTGATCCAGTGCAGCCCGCTGCTGCTGCTGCTGCTGCACAGGGAAGAAGTGAGGCAGCAGAGAAGGAGGAGGAGGCAGATGGGAGGTGATAGGACTGGATTGGTCCTATCACCTCGTGATTACATGACTGTGATAAGGACAAACATAAAGGAAGTGCACGTTACTGGGTTATTATATGTGTGCTTGATAGACTAAGGGGTCAACAGGATGCTGTGAGCATCAGTTCCTCCTCTCGCTGTGGAGTGTCTGCAGCTGCAGTGCAAAGAGAACAGAAAAATCTTTTAAACATGCTCATAATCAGCTCGTCTTTTAGATAATTCCAAAACACGGTCGGTCTAAAACTCCTTGTTTTTTATTGTTTACATGCTGTCAACCCTAATGCCATATTCTCATCCATCGGTTCTCATGTGTCCTGGAAAGCTGGTGTTTGAGGAGTACTGGCACAGAGATCTGAACTCTGGCCTTGACTCATTGATTAAATGCCTCATTATCAAGCTGATTAACCAAATTAATTAGCTGTTAACAAAGAAACAATGGTTGCTGCTTTATACATACTTCTTCGCTCAGGTGCTTTAGAGACAGGAGACAGAGAAAATTTTGATGTGGATCAAACAGCACATGCAGCTGAGAGAAATCTCTCGGAAATGTTCGCAGTGAAGAAGCTGCAGTCATTTAACAAGACTGATGGACTGGAACCCACTGGGGAGTCAGGATTTGCAGCTGAGTTAATAATTTATTCATGGATTTTATGAAGCAGAGAGAATGCTTCCTCTGGTATATTTATTGTGTCTACCATAGCATTTAATTATTTCAACATTTCATTTTGAGTTTACTGTCAGTTTGACAGATATTTAGGGGTTTTAATGTTTTCAGAAATAGAAATTATAATTAACCATACAGAGAATGATTTCTGCGTAACGCAGCGAGCGCACAGATGTGACCTTTCACCTCATTTAACAGCTTCCCTCACTATATCTTCACCCTGATTATGCCTCTGACTCTTTAAAATATATGTTTTTATGATCTCAACAAAGTTATTTACAAATAAGCTGTCCTGAATGCTTGCCAACATTTTCACTGATCAACAAAATTCAAAGAGCTTTGAAAGATTCTGTAATTAATTTATAACTAGTTATCACTTTGAATATTGGATCTGAATGGGACCCGGTGTTTAATTCAACAAAATTATTACATGCTTAAAAACTTAAATAAGTAAACTGCTTCAGTGGAGAAGATGGTTTAAGTTACAATGATAAATGTTTAGGCCTCCTTCTAGTTTAGAAGGAACATTTGATTCAGTAATTAGCTGTCTTCTTTGATGTATGCCTTACCTGCTTCTGATTGGTTAATCTGCACCTCATTAAAACTCTTTACTCCAGAGCTGATAAGTCTGTTGGATATGTTAGCAATAAATGTTTTTGTGTTTTTACGTAAAAACACAAAAGCAGCACCCCTCACTTCAGATCATCTTCAATGAAAAAATAACCAGACAAGCCCCGAAAATCACCTCAGACCCCACTCATAATCAGAGTATAGTTTCCTCCTTGAGGTCGACGTCTTAGAGTCCCTGCCTGTAGATTGAACGGCTATAAGAACCCATTTGTTCGGCTTCTGCTATTAAGGCAATAAACAGTAGCAAGCAGTAAATAGTGTAACAGGCAATGGTATACAACATTTAAACTAAACTGACATGCTTTTTTATGTTATTATCTCATATAACATAAAAGGGTTTTTATACATTTTTTATAATTTTTTTATTGTGAATGTAATGTAAAATGCTTCCTTATGTATTTATTTATTGTCTTATAATGGAATTTCTATAGCCGTGTTTTTATGTGTGAATGCAGTGTGACACATAGTTTGGACTATGTAGCAGCCAGAGTCTGTACCCAAATCAAATTTCCTTTGGGACAATAAAGTTAATCTAATCTACTGTAATTTCTATGATGTTGGGAGGCATCTCTAATCTCCAGTCCTTCCAGGCTATCTTTAATTGATTTATTTCTAAACCTTCAATGAACCACCTTGAGGTATAAACAATGTCGGTGTTAACTGTAGCTTTATAGAGTAGAATCTTTGTTTTAGATCTGTTAAGATATTTGTTAGCAAAATATTAACTTAAAATCGACTACATTCTTATATCCAAGCACTGCAACCATACAAGTTACTTCATCTTTAATTAAGCTGTAAAATGGAAATAATATGACAGATATCTACAAACCAGCTAGTGCATGTTTGAAATGTTGTGGACGGTTTTCTTCATGATTTCCATTTAACAAAGTATCATATTTTAACACCTACCAATGCTGATTTAAATGCCAGTGTCACATCTTTATGTTATCTTCTTGCCGGGTAGAACTAAGAAGAGACTCTTACTCACAGAGATCACAAAAGGTCATGACAGAACATGCAACCAAGCATAAAAATGGGTTAAGTCATCTCTTTCTTCTCCTCTCTGAACTATGAAATCATCCCGCAGGCACTGAGGTAATGCAAGCAGAGAGAATCTAACATTTTATGTCTTTAAATTCATGATTATTATCCATTGTTATTAAATGTCCATGATTTCCATGTTGCTTTTTTGCACTAATAAATCCACCTCTTTTAATGCAGTCCTCTTTTTGTAGACCTTTAAATTCACAGGGATAATTTGAGGAGGTTGTTTGGTTTACCTTGTTCTTTCCTCTGCTTGTTAGCAACTTGTTTTTTAGCTTCAAGGTCAGTACAATGTGTCATCTGCTCTATTTTGTCATTTTCTTTATTTAACTTCCAACATGCTCCTTTGCTACCATCCAATCCTTCCCTTTCTGTCGTTTCCCATCTAGATATTACTTGAGAGCACCCAATATACTTGGTTTTAAAGAAGTCTAATTACCTTTAAGTAGAGCACCTCGACTTTAATTGTCAGAGATTTATTTACTGTCAGGGCGTCTGTATTCACACAGCCTGTTACCGAATACGAGACTGTCTCGGTGATTAGTGGATCCGAAAAACAGGCTTGAAAGCTTTTTAATTAGGCTGCTGTTTATGAATGCAACTGCTCAGATTTGATAGAGACGGCTGTGCAACTTTGCTAAAATCAGGGGGCAGAAAACGTGAATGTGACATGTTTGACTCTAGGATTCGCAATAATGATGGACAGACAAGAAAGGTTTATTGGAACCACTGTGCAGCAGGAAGGTTCCTCTGGGGTAATGGTGACGGTCCAAGTGAGCAGTGAGAAGGAGAGCTAAGTGTTTAAGATTGGAAATCATGAATGACGTTGTATAATGGATGAGGAGAGGTTCTTACTTTTAGAGACAGTGATGGAGTTCCTGTAAAGGTGAGCCTTATCCACAGAGTGTGAATGGGATGGGTGGATTATAGTTTCCTTTGCTGTTTCTTTTTAGAGTAGAGGTTGGTGGGATGACGCACAGGTGAGAGGAAAATAATCTCAAAGAAATATAACAGTAGCAAAAGCAGAGGAGCAATGAGCAAGGAGAGTCTTGAGATGCCTTCTAATCACAATGAACGTGAAAATAGAGCATTTAAAGGCAAGAACAAGTTTCTACATGGAAAAGACAGCAAAGGTAAGTGGCAGAACTTCAATGAGACAATGATGGTAGGCATGGTTATCATCATGACCAAAACAATCTGCCATTTGCTTCTGGGAGTTTCCTCCTCCTTATGTTCTACCTGATTCGGTGTGATTAGCTGCAGCTGTGGGAAGTAACCTTCTAGTCAGCCCCTGCATTGAGAAAAGGTGATTGGAACCACAACCGCACATAGTCAGAGTAGAGAGAGAACAAAGGGATTTTGTTGATCCTCACATATAATTGCTATTAAAAAAACCCAAAAAAAAACAAGCAATAATTGTTGGTATCAAGCTGTTATTTCAGGACTTTTCTTAAATGAGACAACTGTGTACAATTATGTAAGATGTGTATAAAAGCTGTACACGGTGTACAAATAAAGTACCTCACCTATCCTTGTCTTTTGCATGAAAACATTTGAATGGTTGCTTTTCCTTGTTCATGTTTACTGAACAGCTGTTTTGTTCTACATATTTCCAAATGCATAACTATTAGAATTAAACCAACACACTAAGAACTCATGATATAGAGAGAGATTTGTTTTTTACCTCTTAGACCCTCCTATCTGCTGATGATGGGCTAAACTGACTGAGAAGGCATAAGATGACTGAACACAGATCGCTCTGATGTTTTCCTCTGCCAGGATCGGCTAAGGAGCTTTCACCTGGAGGTTGAGCAATGTCTGTATTTTTATTAGCCTTTTTAAATTGAGGGTATCTAGAGTTGAAGTCAACAACATTCAAAAAAGATCCAAACCCAAATCCTGGGACCCCACAGCGATGTGTATACTGTCAGTCCATTATAGTACTCACTGTAAACAAGCCAGTTTATTTCCCAGTCCAAGTTTGCTACTTTCAGCTTCACCTGCGACACGGCACTGTTGGACTTAATGTCTGGGTTTGATGGAGCTGCTTTCAGAGGAGCTCAAAGCCACCTGGCTGGTGAAAAAAGAAACTGAACGATGCATTAGCAAAGAGACCTACTAAATCCTGGTGATAAAAAGAAGTTCAGAAGCAAACTTTATGTATTCAGAGCAACTGAGAAACTATGATGATCTTGTTTGCATTTGCAATATGATCTCATTTTAGTTAATGGGACAAATAAAGAACAGACGGGCTGTTTTTACACCACATCATCCATGTTTCTCGAGTACTTAGATGTATTCATTCCTACCTAATATTTTAAATTTCCTGAGATTATATCAATGATTTTATAATGTTTTATTTGTTTTTATTTCTGTGTATAGTGATGCAAACCTTATTTACACACTTTTATGCTTATAAAAAATGAATCTAACATCTTCATACATTTCTCCCACAACCACATACTTTTTGCTTGTTGATCCACCAAAGACCTCAAAGCCAACCAAATAATAACTTTGCTCTTTTATTCACCCAACCTTAATCCAGCTTGTGGATTTGTGGGTCCCTCTCAAACATTAGATTTACAGTGAGGGAAGACTATACCCCTGTAT